AGAGAGAGAGAAGAGAGAAAGAGAGAGAGGCTACCTTGATCGACAGCTTCTTATTCTTCAACCCATTCAGCAAGCTACCATTCGGATCCTTTGCATCAGCCGTCAACGGTTTCCCGTTCTTTAGGGGGCTCTTAACCAGCAACAACGAGAAGGCGGTATTGGCAGCGGTCCATGCAAACATGACCATCACGCTGGCTGCCAAGCAGCGCAGAAGGGTCGACGGGGAGTATGGGAGGTTGGCAGGCGGGACATTGGTCCGCGGCAGGCTGTAAAGTGGCCGCAGCATCGTCATGTTGACCCTCCAGAGAAGGTCGCGCAGCAAAAGTGGATACAGTGATGCGCTCAACAAAAGCCCCATGACCGACTGGTGCAGGCTGTGCACGACTATCTTGGGGAGCTGGTCACGGAAGCGGCGCATCTGGGTCGACACATGGCCATCTTCGCCAGTCGCTTTGCTAGAGTCGCCATTAGAGGGCTGAGCAGTCCCAAGCGACAAACGGTCAATATCCGAGTAAAGATGTCTCACGCCCTGGTAAATCCCCAGTAGTACCAGATGGGTCGTAAGGAAGATAGGCTTCTCGTTCAGCCGGGCGCGGTCGTACGTGAAATAGGTGATGCGCTCGAACCCCGCGTCGTCGGGCACCGTGCCGAGGTAGACGAGACTGAAGATCCAGGCGGAGAGGGCATACGTGAACAGCGTCTCGAAGGTCGTCCAGCGTGGCGCATAGCGCACGAGGGTCGCGATCGGCGAGTCGGAAGTGCGTATACCGGGGTGGTACTGCGAGATGCGCAGGATGATGACGAAGATACCACAGAGGAAGAAGAGCGCCGCGCGGAAGCCGGTCGGGCCGAGGGGGAACCAGGACCAGAGCCCTGCAGCAATTAGTATGTCGAAGAAACCTCAAACCCGAGAGAAAGAGACGCACATGACGACCACCTCGCCAGCAGCAGGGCCTCAAAGTATGCGGTGGCCAACACGACCAGCGTAGCCGTGGCAAAGCGCCGCTGCAGCGCGGGCTGCAGGAAGTCTTTATAGGGAGACCGCCGGACTGCAGCCGCCATGGCCAATGGGCATGTCGGGTTGGGGTCGCAGTCGCAGTGATGGTGGTGATGTCGATCGGTGTTTGACTCTGCTGATTTCCGTCGAACTTGTTTTGTACTTGTACTGTAAATAAATTTCAGGCCAAAAGACAGCTCACGAGCTGAGCCCTGTTGCACGGAAACGCGATGTTGGGTCCACTGTTTGGGGCCCTCGCTGATTGGCCAGCGTCTTGCGTATGCCAAGACCACCGGGGTCCTGGTCTTATCGGTACGTATCGGATAAGGAACGGCCAGTGACAAGGGCAGTCGATGGTCACAAGCCAAGGCCAGGCAACGCCATCGCATGAACTCCACTGCCGCCTGCCACCGACGCAGCGATCCACCAGTCCTCACCATCATCCAGCGATAAGCCGACTAGCTCATCAACAACCCCGCCTCTCGTTCATGATCCGTCTGTCTATATTTCCCAGTCGATCATTGACTCCAAAAATCCTACAAAAATCAGATACTCGATAAATCACAATGTCCTTCGACCAGCTCTCGTCCCTCGAAGCGGGGCGCCGCCGAGGGCCGACGACCTCCTCCCGCTACACCGATGATCCCGAGTTTGCGCGGCTGTCGCAGGACCTGATGAACAAGCTGTTTCGGCTGAATGGCAACAACCAGCGCCTGGCCGGCGAGATTGGGCATCTGGGGACCCGGCGCGACACGCCGCGCGTGCGAGAACGCGTGCACGAGCTGATTGAGGAAAGCCGCGACATGTTTAAGCAGGTCGGCGAGGGAGTGAAGAAGATACAGGCTTGGGAGGATGTCACTGTAGGTTAACCCTCTTCTGGAGTGTCGACTGTGGTCAGAGACTGACGATAACAGCCCACACAACGCTACATGCAACAAAAACTCTCCCGCGAATTCCAGACCTCCCTCGCCGAGTTCCAATCCCTCCAGCGTCAAGCCCTCGAGAAGCAGAAAGCATCCGTCTCCGCCGCCCGCGCCTCTTTTGAGTCGGAACACCATGCCCCCTCTGCAACCGGCGCCCCTGAGCAACACCAACTCCTCCAGCAACAACAGGAATTGACACATTTGGCTCCCCAAGACGAAGTCGACTTCCAAGAAGCCTTGATCCTCGAACGGGAAGAGGAAATCCGCAACATCGAGCAAGGCGTGAGCGATCTGAACGTGCTGTTTCAGCAAGTTGCGCAGCTGGTGGCCGAGCAGGGCGAGGTACTGGATACCATTGAGAGGAATGTCGAGGCAGTTGGGGATGATACCCGGGGCGCGGATAGGGAGTTGAGGGCAGCTGCGAGGTATCAAAAGCGGGCGAGGAGCAGGATGTGTTGCTTGTTGATGATCCTGACGGTGATTTTGACGATTATTTTGCTGGCGATTTTTGTGGGTTGAAAGCGCTGACTGGGTGTCTCTTGGCTGGTATGGTCTAGGGATGGTAGCGGGATTGAGACGTTTTTAGCGATGGCATGACTGATGACGGCCGTGGACGTATTATATAAGTTGATGTGGGTACGGCGTTGGGGTTAGCGGGTATTATGCTTACTTTCCAGCTGAATCGTGACGACAGGTAATGGCGTTGGGTCTAGCTTGGGTATTTCATATATATATATATATATATATATACTCGTACAACTCATCGATTCCGGAAGTCTTGTATTGTACTAGTCCCTTTCATGCACTGTGACCGGATATATCTTTTCTTACCGTCCTCAACCCTTTTGCTCTCAGAATATTACGCGTACTCAAAGCTTCATCAATATTTCAAGTTTACATTATATACACACCCCCCTATTCAACCATAACCCTCCCATCCCTCAACGGCCTCACCACAACAGCCGTATCCTTCCTCGCCGGACTGGGAGCCTTTGGAATCGGTCGCCACCATGCCAGCAAACTCGTCTCAGCCCACGTCAACGCCGCCGACGACAACCAATACAAATGCAGCGCCGCAGGCAAATCCATCGTCAGCGGCCCCACGGCTGCTGCAAACACCAGCAACGTTCTCCTTAACCGCAGGCGCCAGCGCAGGGCCCTTCCCGCGGGACCGGTCAGGGAGCTTTGTTCGCTGGGAGTGAGGTTCGTGTGGAAGAGCGTGCGCAGGCCGGAGGTGTTGCGCGGGAGCATGTTGCCTATGAGGACGGCGGAGAGGGCAAGGGGCAGGATGTGGTAGGGGTCGGCGACGGTCAGGTTGGTGAACCAGAGAGCGCCTTCGGTTGTCATTGTTGGGTCGGCCCAGGGGATTAAGGTGCTTGGGTCTGCCGTGACCGCGGCATCGACGGCGTTCCGTGACGCTGTAGCAGCAGACTCAGCCGTCGTCGCTGTACTCCCGGCGGCAGCACCAGCCACACCAGCTTCCTCCCTCCCAAACCCCAAAATCAAACTCCCCACCAACCCCCTCGGCCCACCACACATCCTCCTCAACGCCTCAATCCCTACCAGCCACACGGGGAAAACAGCCAAACTCGGTACCCAAAACCGCCACCCTTGCACCCCCCATCTCTGATACACCTCCTTCTCAACCTGTCTCACCATCTTCGCATACCTAACCATAAACGCCTCCCTCTTCAGCATCACTCCTTGTGTAGCAGGAGGAGGATTGCTGGCAAGCACCCTTCCCACAGCCGCCCCCCACGCGCGAAGGAGGGGGATTAGTTTGGCGCGGCGGATGGTTAGCTGGTGGGAGTAAAGGGTTGCCGGGAGGCGTGTAAGGAGGTTAATAGAGAGAGAGAAGAGGGGGATGGTGAGGTACCAGGGGGTACCGGTTGCCGTGTGGAGCGTAGTGAGGGTTGTGTGGGCGAGGGTGACGGCTTGGTCGAGGAGGGGGAGGATTGTTAAGGTGCGGTTTTGAGTCCGGGGGAGGATTAAGTGTGAGGAGGGTGTGAGACTTATGCGCTTGTGTGAATTGGAGGACTTGTAGGCTGCAAAAAGGGAACTGTAGTATCGAAAAGAGGAGGGCGATACGATCGGTAAGAGGTGACGGGATGGGATGGCCCGGGGGCGCACCCTCAGTCGGGCACGGGCTATCATGATGAGAGAGGATGAGAGCTGGAGGAGTCGAGGTGAGTTTGCATCAATTAGCCGGTTTCATTTTATTTTTTTAAAAGATGTTATGTGAGCTCATGGCCCAGCTCATGAGCCAAAAGTTGAGGAGCTTCACCTCAGTCCTGAGCATTGAAATTGACTTAGTCGACCACACATGTGCCTGGTGGGGCTCTCGGCGCCAAGCCCCCAATCATTCGCGCCAAGGCTTGGCCAATCTTAGCAGTATAAAAGTGGGTCCATCGCCCCACACGAAAATGGCAGCGTGGGGCCACAGGACGTCATCTCAATCTCGATTGATTGTAAGCCGATGCGCTCCGGGAGTCAGGGACAGCTGGCAATTCGACCTGCACTTTCACCTCATCTGCTTTGTAACCCTCCTCATTCACTCATCTCAACCCTGAATCATTTTCGTCTCAAACCCCCCTAACACTGGGTACAACTGCAACACAGCCGGACACGGACACGCCTATAGCATTGCACACAGGAGATTCATAAAGAGTCGGTTTGTCTCGCTCGTCGTCCGCCTATTTTAGGCCTTCTGTAATCTCTCTCTTTTGCTTCATGTTTTGGCCCTCTGCTTCTGTTCTCCTGAATCCCTAACCCTAGCAACTCTATTTAACGACACTTCCCACGATCCAAACGACCATGGACGACACCGACCCAAGCTTCCTCTTCCCAAACCGGCCGCTCCTCATCGCCGCACTCGTTATCCTCTCCCCCATGGTGCTCCCCGCCCTCCTACGGCTCCTTGGTCTTTTCCTGGGCTGGAATCTCCGCCGCAAGACGCACGCAACCCGCGAAGCGATCCTCCAACTTCTCAAGCTAGAGCGGGAAGAACACGACCAGTCCAGCACACACGCGCACGAAAACGGCGATAGCGACTGGGAAAAGCTCGACTCCGATGTTCCAACAACACCAGCCGATGGCAAGACAAAGCTGCCGGAGGACCGCAGCTGGGATGGTATCATCGGCTTCTTCCATCCCTTCGCCGCAGCTGGCGGTGGCGGTGAGCGCGTCCTCTGGGCCGCCATCCGCGCCCTGCAACTCCGCTACCCCCGCGCCACATGCCTGATCTACACAGGCGACCGCGACATGACCAAGTCGGCTTTGCTGAACCGGGTCCACGCTCGGTTTAACATCCCGCTTGACAGCTCCCGATTGGCGCTGGTTTACCTCTCTACAAGGCCCTGGCTACTTGCAAGTACATGGCCTAAGTTTACCCTCGCGGGCCAAAGTTTGGGAAGTATCATTGTCGCGTGGGAAGCGCTAGGGAAAGTTGTGCCGGACATGTTCATCGACACCATGGGGTATGCCTTTGCATTGGGGCTGGCGAAATGGTTTTTTGGAAGCGGGATGCCGACCGCGGCGTATGTGCATTACCCGACTATTTCGACGGATATGTTATCGTCGCTGGAGGACGAGGAGGGGACTCCCTTAACGAGAGGGTTGAACGCCGGTCAGGGGAGGGGATGGCGCGGGAAGGCGAAGAGGATGTACTGGCGGGGGTTTGCGAAGGCTTATTCGTGGGTTGGAGGGAAGGCGGTGGATGTGGTGATGGTGAATTCGAGCTGGACGGGGGGGCATATTAAGGAGTTGTGGGGCTCCTATCGAAAGGATGAGAACAAGGACATTGAGATTGTCTATCCCCCCGTCGCAGTGAGCGAGCTCATCCGCCGCATCGAGGTCACGCCTGAATCTGAATCCTCCCGCGAGCCGGTGCTGCTTTATATTGCGCAGTTTCGCCCGGAAAAGAACCATACCCTGATCATGCAGGCTTACGCACATATGCTCAAGAACCCCTCCACTTCGTCAGAGACAGTCAAGTCTTCGCGTCTAGTCCTAATCGGATCCGTCCGCGACGACGGGGACGCCAAGCGTGTGTACCAGCTTCGTCTGTTGGCCAACGAGCTCGGCATACGGGACCGCGTGCAATTTGTTTTGGATGCCCCCTGGGAGACGGTGCTATCCTGGTTGGGAAAGGCAAGCGTGGGCGTCAATGGGATGTGGAACGAGCATTTTGGGATTGGCGTGGTCGAGTACCAGGCGGCCGGGTTGATCAGCGTGGTGAATGATAGTGGCGGACCAAAGGGGGATATTATAGTTGAGGTGGAGGGGGGTTTGACTGGTAAGTTCCTGTCCTGCTTTTATTTGTCTGTTTTGTTTGTTTTAGGGGTTTAGGTGAGATTGTTGCTGACAGTCCAGGCTTCCACGCAACCACGGTCGAAGAGTACGCCGTAGCGTTTGAGAAGGCGTTGACGCTGCCCGAGCCATACGAGGTTCGGCGTCGCGCGAGGGTGTCGGCGCTGAGGTTTACGGAGGAAGAATTTGCACGCAAGTGGATCGTGCAGATGGAGAAGCTGGTTGCTATGACTCGGCGGTGATTTTCTCATCTTTTTTTTTTGTTGTTTCTTCTCTTTTTCCCTGTTCACTTTTTCGTCGCTCATAGATAACTTATGGATACCCCTTGGTTTTTTGGCACCTCGATGGCTTGGACTGGTTGGGATGGCATAGACTTGGTCATAGCATAGGATTCGGCGAGATTATATACAGGGTGCTAAGCACCGTCTACTCATCAACCCGATTCAACACTGCCACACTCTCCACATGTCCCGTCTGCGGGAAGAAGTCAAACCCTCGAATACTCTCGACCGTATACCTCCGCTTGACCCCCTCAACGCCCCTCACCAAAACTCCCACATCTCTCGCCTGTGTATGCACATTACAACTCACGTACACGACCCTCCTCGGCCCATACCGAAGCAACTGCCTTAGAAAGTTCCCATCGCACCCTTTCCTGGGCGGATCCAGAACGACCACTGTCTCATCTGGGTCATATTCCGACACAGACTTGAACAGCTCGTTCGCGTCAGCAGCAACGAACCTGCACCTCGACTCAGGGAGGTCGTTAGCGGCGGCGTTGCGCCGCGCGTAGAGGATCGACCCCTCGCTGATGTCGATGCCGATGCTGCCTCCGGGGAAGAGGGACGATTGCGTGATGGTGAAGAGGCCTGAGCCGGAGTAGGCGTCGATGAGGTAACGGATGGGCTTTTGACCCTCCGCAGGGGGGGGGAGGATGTGCTCGCGGATATACGCCGTGAATGGTGAGAGAATGGAGTTGTTGTTTTGGAAGAATGTACCCGCGGGACTGGTGAAGCGGAAGTTATCGATCCATTCTGTGGCGGGGGCCTTCTGATCGGTGATGCAGGTTTTGAAGTCGACGTGGCTTGGGGTATCGATGCGGACCAATACATCCTTTGCCCGGCCGGGTTGACACTCTACTTCGGCTGGGACAGCAGGGTTCTCATTGGGAGAGGACTTCACCACGCGCGTGGTGCTTTCACGAAGCAAGATCGTCGCTCCCCGGATGTAATTTTCCATACTCCGTCTTCATTCTCTCCCGCTCGGCAGTCAACCCCTTCGCTGACCGCCTCCGTGGCAATCGGACAGTCCTCAATATCCAGCACCGTCCTGGAATGCTTAGGCGTAAATCCAATCGGCGGACAGGCCTGCAGCGGCTTCTTAGGCACATTCTTCCTGAACATGCCCGGCGGGCCATCAAAGTGCGGCGTGAGCTTCGTGCGGTAACCATACTGCAGTGGCGAACCGATGGTTTCCCCAATGGTAGGGACCAGCTCGGGAGGGAGCTCCGAGAAGTTCTTGTATGCCTTGACGATGATCTCCCTTTTAATCCGCAGCTGGTGGTCGTAGGAGAGCATCTGGAATTGGCAGCCTGGGCAACGGCCAAAGTACTGGCATTGGATGCGGGCGTCGTCGCGATAGGGGGCAGGGGCAATGACGGAGAGGAAATCGGCGGCCGTGTAGCCCTCTTCGAGATGGTGCCGGACGACCCTGGCCTTGACAACGTCCCCGGGAATGGAGAATGGCACGACGTAGACGTGCTTCTCGTCAGGGACGCCCTTCCTCCGGGCGAGGCCATCGCCTGTAGAGGATAGCTCGACTACTTCCAGCTCAAGCTCGGTGCCCAGCTCGGGGAGGGCAGTCTCCTGGGTAGTGGTCTCAGAGACCCCGTCTTCTGTAGGAGCAGCATCGTCTGAGGCTTTGAGCGATGCCAGCAAATTCTGGACGTCGGTTAGGAGGATCTCCTCGTGTGAACCCTCCTGCACGATATGCTTCTTGTCCTTTTTCCTCTGCCGCTTGCTCGGTTTCTGGGCTTGCTTGCCATGAGGACTGTTTTGAAGGGGTCGCTTGTGAGGGTTGCTCTCGGCCTGGGCCTGGATGGCTGCTTCGGTGCCGTTGGAAGACATATTGTCTTTATGTCTGCCGTCCCTGCTGTACTTGCTATTTTTGTTGTTGTATGCCTTAACGGTAGGTGTCGCAGCAGCAGGCACAGATGAAACTGTCGACAAGGGTCTCGTTGAAAATTTGATGTGAGTAGCGAGCGGGTACTGTGAAAGCGACAATGAAACCCGTGAAAATTTTGAGAAAGTTAAAAAGGTCCTCAGGCGTTGGGTGAGCATTGGCCTGGAGACCTTAACGAATAGTCAAAATCACATTCAGAACAAAGGCTCAAAATTAAAGTTTCAATTCACACACGGGATGCGACTCAAACTGCGGGAGCTTGCTCAACCAGTAAGAGTGAGCAGATTGCTCATCGCCACAGCTGAGGTTTCAGAGCAAAAAAGTCGTTGGCGCACGGACCACATGGGTCTCAGGGGCAGATGAGAGAAGAAGTAAACAAAACAGGGAGAATAAACAGAACTAAGGAAAAAAAATAATCAGTGAAGAAATTCTTTAGCGAATCTAAATCATCCTTGTCTTAGATGTAGTGTTCAGGGGAAAATATATCGAAAATGTTGAGGTCTCAACAGTAGCAAAAACGAACCAGAAAATGACCCTGACCTCAACATCAAGGATCAAATGATTATGATCGGAATTCATTCATTCCTGTTCATGCCATATACTTTTTAGCTATGCTCCTTAGCAGCCAGAATCCATACCTAGGTATACAACAAGCCAAACGCCCAGAAATTCCTTAATAGCACCCTGTTCCTATCCATCCAGCCATCCAGCATAAAACAATCCCGTTTCCCAGTAAGGGTATCATCCCATCCCTCAGCCAATACTGACCCATATGTAGTCCAACAGCATCATTCTGACAAAGCAAATCTCAGTCAAGAGCAAGTTAAGGGAGAATCGAAGGGGATTGTCAAGGGAAAGGGAGGATCATGAAGTCCCCAAAACAACCTGCTCGTATTGCTCCCGATCCAGATACTTGGCCAGCGTGGCCTGCAGTGCGGCCTTGCTGCGTTCGATGGCCGGCAGCACGCCGTCAATTTGTCCCAGGTTGGAGCGGATACTCTCCATGTGGTTGACCACTTGTTGAGAGAGGGCGAATAGCTCGTCGTCGTTTTGGAGATCCTGTACGTCGTTAGCCACACTCTTCCCAAAAATGCTCCAAAAACTGCAAGACGCGGAAAAAAAAAAAAAAGAAAAGGAAAAGAAAAAGACTCACCTTGAACACCGCCTCCCCTTCCCTCCGACCAACAATCTCCAACTTCTCCCCCTCTTCCTTCCCATCCTTCTCCCCAACGGCAGCCCCGAACCCAGGCCCTCCAACAAGCAAAACATGCTCCCTCTTTCCCCGCTCCCTCCACTCCCTCGCCTCAGCCTTGGCATTCGTCTCCAGCGTCTTCAACACTTTATACTCCCTCTCCAGCGCCGCCTCCTCCCTCGACAACTCCCTCTCCAACAGCGCTACACTATGCAGCGCCGGATCAAGCGCCCTCTCCGCGCGTCGGATCGCTTCGACTGTTTGCTCGAAGTCGAACTCTACCATTGCGGCTTTCCCTTCCTTTCCAGTCGATTTCTTCCCTTTCGCAGAAGATGTGGCTGAATATGAGGGGCCGACCGCCGAAGGAGGGAACGGAATCCCCTTACTCAGCTTTCCCCTCAGCCTCGTTGCAAAAGCCTTAAGTATCGTCTGTGCTTGGGCGTGCCGTACATCTCGGTCGCGCAGGCGGTGCAGGACTGTGCGTGCTGCGTCAGAGACGATTGTATCGACGGCGGCGATGGACGCACCATCGAGGGGCTTCCAGCGAGCGGTGATGGTTGCGCGGGGGATGTTGCGTGGGATGGGGGCTAGGTGGCGGTGTTTTTCTAAGGGATCGAGGAGCTCTTCGTCTTCGGAGGAAGGTTCTTGTTCTTCTTCCTCGGCGAGAGGTTGTTGTGTTCGGGGGGCGGGGGATTCGGGTTTTGAAGATTCGGGTTTGGACCTGGATGATTCAGGCTCGGGTTCATCTTGTGAAGCTGCACTCGTGCGAGAGGGTCGTCCGGAGCCGCGTTCCGTCTTCCCTTGGGCTTCCTCTTCGTGCGCAGGAGATGGTGCCTGGTTTTGTACCTTTGAGACAGGAACCTCTGCCAAGGATTGCCGACCGCGTCGTCGCCTTCGAGGCGCTGCTTCTTCCTCGGTTTCCGGCTCCTCTTGCGCAGGCTGAGCCTGTCTCCTTCCTCGCCGAGGAACACTCTCCGCGAGACTGGGCTGCTCAGCTGGCTTTTCAGCCTCCTTCTTCCTCCCCCTTGATCGCCTGGAAATCTGCTTCTCTCCCTCAGCGTCTCTGTCCTTGGGCACTTGCGCAGGGCTCTCCTGCGTTTGGGCCTTCCTTCTCCCCCCCCTAGCAGGCTGCCCCTCTTCCTCGGCAGCAGTAGCTCCTTGCGCCTGCTTGGTCGCAGCCTTAGTGTCCCTCGCAGACCCCTTCTTTTCCCTTCCCCCATCCTTCTCCCCCTGCTCACCCCTCACTCTCTTACTCGGCCTGTCTTCTGTCCTAGATTCCCCCTCTTGTTCATCACTCTGCTTCGGGGGATGCCCTCTCTTCTTCGGTACACTATGTGATGGCTCCTCAACCTCCTGGGTCGCTCGTGCGGTCTTCTTCGTACCAGCACCCTGCTTCTGCGCTTGCGCCGGGGAATCATCCGACCCTCGTTTCTGTGCTCGCGTTCGTCTTCCCGTTTCTTCCTGGACAGGAGAACTGGGTTCTTGCTGCTGCTGTTGTCGTGTTTCTTGTCTTCGCTGTTGTCGCAGCTCAGGCGATGACGACATGCTGGCGTCGGCCTTCTCAGACTGCTTCGTCTTCGGTTGTTGTTGGGACGCTGCCGCGGCTCTCGCTGCTGCCGGAGGACGACCACGCTTCTTCTTTTGATTGGGTCCACTAGGAGCCTTGCAATCACTATGTTAGCAGCGTTTTGGAAGCATAATGGGCGTCTTTACGTACCATGGCCGTGGAACTGGGCAGAGACGGCCAGATGGGGACGGGAATTGGGATCGATGCCGTCGCGGGCTGTGCTGGCCGTCCCAATGGGTTGACGGGGCCCTGTCTCTCCGGAGCTTGAGCCACACACGCCAGTGGAACCGCGACTGTGGCTGGTGGATCTGTGCGCGGCAGACTGGGCAGACGCGCCATGCGCGCTTAGACGCGTTCTACTAGGGACCGAGTTAAGAAGACCCGATGCAAGAAAACAGGCTCTTGTTTGGATTAAACCCACAATTTCCGCCACCGCCAAATCTTTGATTTACGTAGTCGTAAGACCCCACCTCAAGCAACTATGGAAGGAAGACTGTTCTTTGACAAAAGCAGGATCCTTAACAGACCAAAAATGTCTTGCAAGCATCCTAACGACAATAGTCTGTTGTTGGGTTCATCTCAGTTCAACTTTGGAGATGGCGTCTTGATTTTTAATTCAATTATATATGAGTTTTATGAGGTTTAGTGAGTGAATGAACATCCGAGATTCCGTAGTTTCTAACCACAGTCGTATCGAGAACTTTTTCTTCCCTTGTTAAAGTACTAAACAGAGAGCTACGTACGCTCTTTGCAACGCAGAGTCAAACTTCATGACTGTCTCAAGTTTCACTCTATCCGAAACTCACAACTGACAAACTCGCTTTGCGACTCTTCAACCCTCAAACCGTTGCAGCCCGCATCAGGCTCATCACTTTCTCTCTTTGGCTCGCGTCACCCCACACGGCCCGTGCGTCCCTAACTTGCAAGCTCCAATAGGCTAAACCAAATCCAGTTTAGCGGTCCTTGTGCCAGCTCAGCCCGACCCCTGGTTCTGGACACGCCACAACCAAATCAAACCAGATACTTGTTGACGCGAGAAGCTCGTCCAAGGCTGCGACGGACAACCGGGGTACGAAACGCAGAAAAGGGCAGGATTCCAGAAACTCGCGCACCTCGCAACCACCTTTTTTTGTTTTGAGAATTTTGTCTTTGGACATTTTGTGTTTTGTACGTACGCGTCGTAGTTATTGTAGTTGTGGTTGTGGGATCAAGCCCGAGGGTCAAGGAAGCACAGGAGCTTCGCCCTTCCCCCATCCCCCATCCCTCCACTCCCACACTCTTCCACATTCATTGATTGGGGAGTTCATCCATTCATCCATCCACCACCCACCAGCCAACTAGCCAACCAGCCAACCAGCCCAAGCACTCCGCACTCAGCCAGCTAAGCTTCCTGCACGCCAGACCCCTCACGCCTGACATCATTTCCCAGACCTACCCCGAGGAGTGTGCTGCTGTCTGCCTGCATCTTGTCTTCAGCTTCTGCGCACAACATCCATTCAAGCTCCTACGTCGAGCCAACTAGGAAGTTCCAAAGCACAAAATGCGCCTCTCAAAAGCAGCAACCTTTCTAGCCCTGCCCCTTCTGGCTGCCGCCACAGGCGCTGATGCTCAAACGAAGCCTGTGCAGCCCCAGGCTGCTGCTCAGGCCGTCATCGCCAGCCAAAGAGGAGCGGGCGCGTTCACGCAGTATATGGCCAAGTTCCAGAGCTTCCTGAGCAACATCGTTGGCGCGCAGAATCCGCTTGGCGGAGCGGATGGCGATAGCAGCAGCAGCAGCAGCAGCAGCAGCGCGAAGGCAGCGGGAGCTGGCAAGAAGAAGGTGATGGCTGAGCCGAAGCCGATTGCCACACTGACACTGGAGGGCTGGCGCGACGCGCTCTACGCGCCGGTCAAGGAGAACGCGACGGTCGCTGAGGAGTGGCTTGTGTTGGTGAGTGGGGGAAATAAGACTTGCTATGGTAGGTTTTGGTGTCTCTGTTGTACAGACGCACTATGCTCGCGATCGATATCACAAAGTACTAACGAAGGTAAAACAGGCCGCTGCACAGCTCTCGACACAGCTTTCAACGTCTCCGCCCTCGATCTCGCTAACCTGCCATCCCCCTCCGTCCGGCACCTGCACCTGGGCCGCCTCGACTGCGACGCCCAGCCCATCCTCTGCAACGTGTGGTCCGCGAACCCGGGCTCTCTCTGGTCGCTGTCTCTCCTGCCTGCTCCGGCGCCCGTCGAAATCCACACGCGTTCATTCAACCTGTCGCTGGCGGCGCCCACGCCTACCGCGCAGGACATTGTCACTGCCTACCTGGCGCGCGCAGACCCGGAGGTTGATGAGAAGGCTGAGATCCCGACGCGGCGCCGCTGGCACCGGTTTGAGAATGAGGGATGGCTGCATCCCTTTGATGGGAAGCTGGCTAAGCTCGGGCTGAGCGTGCCCGTAGCGTATTTCTTTTATGGGCTCAATGCTGTCCCGACGTGGGTTCTGATGCTGGTGGTTTCGTTCGTTAGCCGGACATTGATGTGAGTTCCCCTTCTCTGCATGCTGTTCGCTGGCGATAATGGCTAACTGAGTGTTAGCAACCGCCGCTTGGCCCCGTCAACCCAGCCAGGGGCGCCGGCTAGCAGCAGACGGTCTTGAACTGAAGGCGTTTTGGGGTTCCTTTTAGGGTAGCGTAGCAATCATCGTTGCTTTTTGTAATTACATAAGTTGTTTGTATGGTCGGGCTGGGCTGTATGCTTTCAAGATCTGGGCCGGGTCGGACTGGACTGGAGTTAGACATAGGATAGGAACGGACTTCTCGTCTCTGTATTCCAACATTGCTCTCCGAGGATTAATTCTGTGCCTGCTTGCAAATCTCTTCCAGATTAGCCAGCCCATCGATAACCTGTTCGCGCAGGCCGGGGTTTGCGAGTCTCCCATAGCGCAGGTCGCTCAGGGCGCCGACGGTTTGCCGTACCGCGGCCAAAAGCTGCTGTTCCTGCTCCTCGATTAGCTGCAGCTCGGCCTGCAGTGCGTGCACGGCAGCCTCCATCTCGGGTAGAATGGTCGCCAGCCGGTGTCGGTTGTGTCGTGGGGCAGCCCAGGTGCCGAGCTATCACCACCATCAGTATCTCTTCTAGTAGGATATGTAGTAATAAAAGAGTAAAACTAACCATCCTCTCAATCTCAACTTCATCATCCCTCTCCATCGTCTCAGCCTCTGCCTCCCGCTGCGCGGCCCTGGCGACCGCGCGGCGCATGGCTTGGCCATGTTTCGCCTCCGCGGCGATCTCCTCGGAAACTGCATCGACCAGGGCGCTGCGTTGGGCCTGCAGGTCACGATAGAGGCTGCGCACGCGGGAAGAAGACTGTAGAGCCCGAGGGAAAAGCGCGGTGAATTCTTCCAGGGAGATGATTGTTGGGAGTTGGGCGGGCGCCAAAAGATAATTGGTGAGAATTTGTTGTTCTGTGGGAGCCATGTTGAATATGGGACGGTGTTTGGTTTGGGGTTAGTTTAATGCTTGGGTGAACGGAGGGGGGTATTTGATGATTGTCAGAGCCAAACGGAATTGAGTTTGGCGAGCATCCAACGCTAGAGCAGAAAAAAAAAAAGATGGCTTCGATCTCAAGGCTGAATGAAACCGAGACTGTTAACCCGACAAAACTCTATATAGACCTCTTCAAATTGTTCCTGAGCCGACCAAACTCAAACCAAAGCCTACCTCGTCCTCACAGAAATATTCCGAGCGGCCGAACACGGTGTGGCGCGTGCAAGGAGAGAGTGCGTAGCAAAGACGTGGCCGTGTCGCGTGTTCCCGTGATCCGTGCGGCTCTCACTCTCATTCTGCCACTCATCTCCTAACTTCTCACCCCTGGCCTCGACCCCCTTGGAGAGACAGCGTACCTTGACCCCTGGATTGCATCAACCACATTACTCAGTCCTATTGTTCAATTAGCCAGTTCATAAACTTATTGTTGCTGAGGAAATATATCTTCTCCAGCCTGACATTTGACCCAGTTTCACATTTTTTCTTCCATCTCCAGCCAACCCACGCCTTGGTCTCACCTTCACTTTACTCGCCGCCTCCTCATCAGCCATCACCCATCCATCGCCAGGACAACTGCCATTCGATCAGTCTCTGTCAAATTCATCTCGAATCTGTCTAACTTTCATCTTTCCCGCAGCATCTCTGCAGACGGTCTCATCGTGACAGACTCCTGCACCTGATCTGTTTTTCTTCTCACCACTTCCTCAAATACCAGTAACACTCAACACAACACCGCTTCATCAGCACAATCACAGACAAACATGCCTCCTTCCAAGCAAAAGCCCGAGCCGCCTTTCCAAAAGGACGAGCGCGTGCTCTGCTTCCACATGGACATGCTCTACGAGGCCAAGATCCTCGACATCATGCCAGCAGAGAACGGCGAAGGCTGGCAGTACAAGATCCACTACAAGGGCTGGAAGAGCAGCTGGGACGACTGGGTGCCACAGGATCGTGTACGGAAGTTTACTGACGAAAACAAGGAGCTCGCCGCCCAGCTCGTCGCCCAGTACAAGGCCCTGCAGCAGGGCAAGAACTCGAAGCAGCCCAAGAAGGGCGGCGCTAAGGGTGCGGCCGCTGCCGCGTCTGATGGCAATTCCGGTCGCGGTAGCGAGGAGCGCGGTGCTGGAGGGACTACATCAAGTGGCCGTGGCCCAAGGCGCGCGAGAGATTATGATTTGGAGCAGGTAGGTTGATTGTTTTTTTTTCTACACTCACCTCCCCCCCCCCCCTTTTTTTTTTTTTTTGCATTGTGCCTTTTTTTTCTCGTGTGCTGCTGCTGGGCTTGCCATCGTCTATCCGAATTTGCGGACTACGGGATAGAACCAGTAGGATGGTTATCATGGAAAAGTAAGGGTGTTTGCTCCTGTGGAAGCTTGCGCCACATCAGGAGTCCACCTATTGTCATTGTCATTTGAGTAGGCTGTGAACTCTGGATCTGGACAGCGACGAGGAGCAAGAGAAAGCCGGTTCTTACTACCAGCAGGGCGGTCCGCGACTTTCTTCCTACCAACAAGACCTCCATCCTCTGGGCCTGCGATCAAGGCACTCCCTTTTCTCATGCACTTCACTTCTTGATCCTTTCTTCTTCGTCTCTCACGGATTTTCCGACTTCCGACTTTCTGTTATTATCCAAGGAGGACTCTCTCGATATAACTCGTTTGCCATTCCCCCCCTGTGAGCTCCTGGCCCTCCTCACTTCGTGGCCACAGCTTCGCTACCAGCTCTCTCCCGAAGAACTCGCTTTTTTTCCCGACTTCGTCATAGGATATATGGAATGTTCAATAAGGAGTGGTCAGCTGCGACAGATTATCTTCTTTCTTCCAGGAAACCGATTTTTACACAAGTTACCCTCCCGACCAAGCTACCTTCGGGATCATCAGCCGGTAGTGGCCCCCTATGGGGCTCCTCTAACCCCGAGGCCCCCGAAGTGTTTGGCTTTGTTTTTTGCCTTGTGGCCGCCTTACTACGGTCTTTCGGCCGACCAACTGCCCTAGGGCTGCGCAAGATTGGGTTTGCGACCAAGGCGCGTTAGTTCCTAAGAAGTTCACTAAAGGAACTCCTACGCACAGAATCAAAAGCGGCTCCTTTGCGCGCCAGTCACCTTGCCTGACGAGGAGGTCTATCCCCTGAGAAACAGTACAGCATTATATTTTCTCGATGTCTCGACTTCCCTTTCAGATTTCGAGAGCTGTCAAGACATCTAATCACAGCTATACATTGACGTCCTGCTTTTTTTTTTTCGAAAACTGCAAAACCAGCGCAGAACACGCAAGAGTCTCGTCTGCTGGCAACGCAAGTGCCCAAGTCAGACAGCCATCATCACAAGCCTGGCATCACCTTCGTCCGATCCCAAGCAACACATGTATTTTGCATGTCGCTTTCGTGTCAGACTGCAAAATATCAGTAAACGCAAGGCTTTCCTGGTATCCAGAGCAAGCTTGTGATCAGCCCGTTCTGCCCTCTAACATCCCCCGGACTCCTCCCCCCCCTTCTTAGGGCTTTCTCTTTCGCTTTCAAATCCTCGACATCATTCTGTGCCGTTCACTTTTTTTTATAAAAAAAGAAAATATTTCGACCGGAAAATGTCGTCTCACGCTTCTCATATGTTCCGTACCGGCCGTGCTTCCGCTCCCGCTCCCATAACCCCGGCAACCATATCTGCGCTCTCTCCCCCGACCTCTGTGGCTCCCGTCACAACTACCCGGTCAGGCCGCGTAAGCGAGCCAACGGCTAAGACCCTCGCCGCCGCCGACCTGGCCCCTTCCCAGCCCAGCCCCAGCCGCAACAACACCGCCGTCAGCGTCCCGGCTCCTGATCCGACTCCTGCCCCAGCCCGCCGGTCTGCCCGCGCCCGTACCGGTGGCACCAACAACACCCACCCCAGCGTCTCAGCCCGCAACACCCGCCAACAGCGTCTAACCATCGACGACGCGACGGCGTGGGGCCCGATCGACAGGACCTACTTGCATAAGGAGGCTGCGTGGGCCGCCGCCGTGGCTTGCGAGGACTACCTGCTCTGGCTGCCACCCCCAAACGCAGATAAACAGGTGTTGTACGTCACTCGCGCGGGGAAAAAGTGTTTTGACGATCGGTATGTGATGAAGAGTCAGGTGCCGGGGAAGGGGGGGAAGGAGGAGGAGGAGGAAAACGGGAAGGGAATAAAAAAGGAGAAGGTTTTGACTGCTGGTGTGGCAAAGGAGCCAGCGTTTGCGGATTCGACGGAGAGGTTTTGGAGGGCGGTTAACGAGGCTATTGCTACCCTTCAGAAGGAGGAAGATAAAGAGGATGAAGAGGAAGATGGGGAGCCAGTTCCTTCTGGCAGTAATGACGGCAACAACAATGGGCGCAAGCATGGCGGTGACTCAGGCTTGGATGATGATGCTCCCGCTGCGAAGCGCTGCAGGGTCGACCATGAGGACCAGGAGGATGACGAGGACGATGACGATTTGTCAGTGGAATCGGGCTCAAACACGGCGTCTACATCTGTGTACGCATCCAACAGTGTTGCCGTCTCGAGGGGCAGCATCTCCCAGGCTGCTGTCACTCCGGAGACGAACATGGGCATCGACCTCAACAGCGATGGCAAGTCTTGTTTGCAGGAGTCCAGCCGCGAAGCAAAAAAACAGCAAGACGAACAAGAGGACGATCGTGAAGAGGATGCGAGCGGCGCCCAGGCTCCAAGTGGTAGCTGGACTTCCCATCATGTGAGACGGGCTGATTTGGAGTTTGATCTTGACCCGGAAGAATATTTCGACATGAAGGAAGATGTACGCCGTTCTCTTTTCTTTTTGCCTGATTCAAGTGAATCAGGTTTTTTTTTTTTTTTCATTTTCTTCATCTTTTTCCTTCTCGATCACTACTTCCCTCACAACCTACTTACACCCATCACAGGAGGAGACCTTCCATGCCCGCCCGTCCATCAAACTGCCGATGCCGGATCACCTTAAGGCGATGCTGGTCGATGACTGGGAGAATGTGACAAAGAACCAGCAGTTGGTCCCCCTCCCGCACCCACACCCCGTTAATGAGATCCTTGATGATTACCTCGCCTTCGAGCGCCCCCATCGCCAGGAGGGTTCCGCCGCAATGGACATCCTCGAGGAGACGGTTGCTGGGCTCAGGGAGTACTTTGATAAGTGCCTTGGCCGCATTCTGCTTTACCGGTATGTTTCCCCTCTTTTAGTCCTCCTCCCAGCCACCGGTCTGACAGCTACACTAGCTTCGAACGCGGCCAATACCACGAAATGCATGCTCTCTGGCAGAATCCCGAGAGCAAGCACAAGTCGCCGCTCGACACCTATGGCGCCGAGCACCTGTCTCGCCTCCTTGTGTCCCTACCCGAACTGATCGCCCAAACGAATATGGACCAGCAGAGCGTCAACCGCCTGCGCGAAGAACTAACGAAGTTCACCAACTGGTTCGCTCGGCATGTTGTCAAGTACTTCGTGAGCGAGTACGAGAATCCCGGGCAGGATTATATCGAAGCTGCTAGGGCAAATTGAGTGGCGTTCAGACTGTATCTTCTGGTAAAACTTTAGAGTCTGGTGAAGGATCAGGATGAATGGGTCGCTATAGTAAATATATCGACGGACGGACAGATGGATGGGATTAGGAGTTTGTTGTTCAGTTTGCTCATTTCGAGGGGATTATACAACTAAGGCAAAGGGAAATACAGTGTAGTCTGCGTGTTTTGTACTTCATTTTATTAGCCGCGATATGAGTGGCCTGGAACGGAAATATATACCTACATCGATCAGCCAGTTAAAGGGATGCTTCCATTGTGTGCCTTGTGAATGTGGGAATGCCCACGACTCTATAAATGGATCTCAAATGTTTCCATCGCTCTGGCCGCCTTGACCTGAAAGCAGCCATTCCCGTCACGTACTTTCAAGTTGTCACAATCTTACCAATCGTGGGCTCAACGAAAATCATGGCACGAGCTCCGCTTCTAAAGCCATTGACCAGAACACGACTAGGAAATCCGCGAGATCGTCCTTACCATGCTTGGATGTCCACGTAAACCTTCTGGTGTCTTTTTCGCTTCCCAGATTTTTAATGCTTCAAGAACTGTCGTCCATGACTTGAACTGAGCTGTTTGAGGCTTCGAGCCATTGCAACCGGGTTCTCCAGAGCAAACACGTAACTGGTGTCTTCAGGAGAATGCTCAACATAAAGAATCAAGGTTAGCATGAGTTAGCTTTGCGGAAGAGAATTCCGTCGAGGAAGTTGCCCAGAAACTTGGTACCCCCAAGAGTCTCGCAACTTAGCTGAGCTCATGTGACCCCTCACCAGACGAGTCTAGGCCTCTCCCGCAGGAAGCGACTCTATACACTCGACCCCCTCCCCTATTAGTTTAACATAAGACATCAACGCAATGCTTTATATGTCAGAATATTGATTGTCATACACTAATGTACACAGTCGCATACAAAGTACAACCCACATCCTTTACCCCTTAATCGTGCCCTCTCTTCCCGCTCCCCTTGCCCTCACTCCCCCCTCCCCCCACCTCCCTCCCAACTTCCTTCCTCCAGCTCCCAAAACCTCCATGTTCCTCCTTTATCACAACCTAACCTCCCCCTCTCCAACCTCTCTAGCCCAAGGCAAAGCCCCCCTCATCTCACTCCCCCTCTTCTCCACCACAAACCCTGGATCCGGCTTCCTCTCATCCTGCAGCTCGCGCTTCGTCTTGGGCCGATCCACCTCCTCCACCTTAACAAGCTCCTTCACCTTCATAATCATGCCCGCGAACTGCGGGTGCACAGGCTTAAAGACGACTTGACAGCGCTTGTGCAAGCCCAGGGCAGCCAGCACGCCCTTGGTGCGCTTGGGCAGGCCGATGGCCGAGCGGTGGAGGGTTATGCGCCAGTAGGGCATGTTGTTTGTTTGTATAAGCCGTGATTTGTGAGACAAAAATTAAGTAGGGGTCGTAAGCTCGTGAAAGGTGGTTTAGGACGTTTGGAGACGGGTAGCCTGTGGGGTATAGAGTTGCCAGAGATGTTCCCGAGGGTTGATGATGGAGGATACGCGGCTCGAGGTGGATCGTAGTTGTGCCCCCTCTCTTCCTGACTTTCAAGGACCGTCCCTATCTGTCTCGGAACCGCGCAATGCCCTTTTCGGCCTTTGAAAACGTCACTCTCTTCGTCGTTCCACTCGCAACTCTTCCGTCCACTCGGCTAATGCTCTGTACTGCTGTTAGCAATTCCTTGTTGAACCTGCTACGAAAAACAAAATTTACAGTACAACTTACCACTCTAGTTAGGAGCCCGACGTTCCGCCTTTGCCCAAGCAATCCAGTCCCAACGTCGCGATGTCGGCTCGGCTGCGGCGGGCGTGCGCGAAGAGCCTTTGTCGATTTGATGATCGATTGATCAGCCGTAGGTGGACCGTGCACGAGGCTGAGCAGGATGTTTCGCCAAGAACCTATTCTGCCGCCTCACACCGCCAAAAAATTATGGTGGGGCACAAACGCCCCCCCTCCATGACCCATCTACTTTTTATCACCGCGGCTCGAAGACAGCCGGCAGCCGAGGATATCGAAATCGCAACCATGCAGCCCATCAATAATGGTTGTAACAAAGGCAATGTATAGCTTTACATTGGGGGCTGTGGAAACTGGGGAACTACAGTTGCAAAATGACATTCTAACAACTTCGGACGGAAGTCCGGGGGGGAAGGGACAGAGATTTGTGGAAAAGACAAACATACATCACGTAGCAAAAGGAAGGACACTTCATCAACGATTAAAATTCTAGCATAACTAATCCGGCCATTACTCATGGGCATGCGCCCTGTGCTCAAATCAACATCATAAAAAAATTGCAATCCGCCTGCGACCCGCTCCCAGATCCCTTGTAAACCCGGCTCTAACTTCTATCAGTAGACCCTTTAAATCTGCACCTCCACACGGCCCTCCTGGCCCGGCGGGCCAGTCTGCTGCAGGTTCGGCAGAAGGTATGTGATATCGTCCCACGGGTGGCGGTAGAGACCAGTGCGCAGACGCTTTTGGTCGAGGTGGTGGGCAATGAGACCAATGCTGCGACCCAGGACGAACAGGCCGTTGAGCACACCCATCTTAAGGTAGTCCTCCGCCTCCTCGGGGCTGAAGGCACCGCAGTTGCGGAGCAGGTCGACGAAGCAGACGGCAATGCAACCGTCCACGTTGAGAATGAGATTGTCCTTCTTGGAAGTAGTCACCGTCTCGACAGCAAGCGCATAGTCGAGCATCTTGGTGCTCGGGAAGTGAGCCTTGACGTACTCCTTAACAAGCTCGACACGCAGGTCGGGGTTGTTCCGTGACTTGACACGGTGGCCAATGCCAGGGATGAGCTTGTTTTGCTTACGCATCGAGTCGACGAACTCGCGCGGGCTGAGGCCCTTATCGAAGGCACGAGTGAACTCCTCGGCAGCACCGTCGAGGGCACCACCGAAGCGGGAGCCAATGGTAAGCAGACCGCTCACGAGAGACGAGATGAGATCCTTGCCCGCACGTGTCGTGATGATCGTGTTCATGGCACCAGAGACGGCCGGACCGTGGTCAGCCGTGAGCATGAGAACCATCTCAAGGAACTTGGTGGCATAGTCAGGCAGGCGGCGACGGAACCACAGGAGGGACATGACGCCGCCAATGCCAATGTTCTCCTTGAACACGTCGGAGATGGGCATACCGGCGTAGAGAAGCTCCTGGCCACGGTCGTCCGAGATGGTGGAGATGAAGGCAGCCGGCTTGCGGATGAGACCGAGCTCCTGGGCCCAAGAGTAGTCCATGGGGATCTTGGGGACAGGAGGCTCGGGGCGGGGCTTGATAGTACCCTCTTTGACAAGCTTCTCGTACAGCTCCTTGAGAACCTTGGGGAGGTCCTCAAAGGTGTCGGGGACGTAGAAACCGGCCTCGCGCATCATCTTGTTCTTCATGGCGGCAGTCTCGAGCTGGGAGTTGGCGAAAGCACCAGCGTGGCCGAACTGAACCTCGGTCTTGAACATGCTAGCGCAAGTACCGATGGCCCAGGCAACGATGGGCTTAGTAATAAGCCCCTTCTTCACAGCGTCAATCACCTTGTACTCCTCAACGCCACCGACCTCACCAAGGAGCAGCAGGATCTTGCACTCAGGGTCGGCCTGGAAGCGCAGGAGGTGGTCAATGAAAGTGGTGCCGGGGTAGCGGTCACCACCAATGGCGATACCCTCGTAGACACCGTCGGTGCACTGCGAGATGATGTTGTTGAGCTCGTTGGACATACCGCCGGACTTGGAGACGTAGCCGACGGAACCCTTGCGATAGAGCTTGGAAGCAACGATGTTGTCCATCATGCCACCAGTGTTTCCAATCTTGAAGCAGCCGGGCTTGATGCCACCGACGGTGGCGGGGCCAATGATGGTGACGCCCTTCTTCTTGGCGACATAGGCAAGCTCACGAGCGCGCTGGAAGCTGTCAGCTTTGATCGGACACTCCTACAGACGCGGGATTGATGGCACTTACGCGCTCCGGGACACCCTCGGCAATGATGGCAATAGTCTTGATCTGAGGGTACTGCATGAGCTCCATGGTGGAGCTGTAGACACTGCGGGACGAGGCGAAGTTGACGACGACATCGACATCAGGATGCTTGGCCATGGCCTTCTCGACCTGCTGGTAGACAGGGAGCAGCGTCTCGCTGGTGCCCCAGTACATCTTGCTCACGAACTGGCCACCAAAAGTGTAGATGATGGCGGCGACCGAGGGAACCTGGCGCTTGCAGATGAAGTCGAAGTCAAGCATGCCCTGCACGGCGCGGGGCTGCATGCCGTAGACGAAGCATCTTGTTTTCTCGTTGAAGAGGGCATGAGCAGGAAGCGGGCTGTGCGGCCTGCTGGGCGCCGGGAAGCGGGTGATCTTGTCGTTAGCAGAAAGCCCGCCGGCAGGCGCTGCGGGAGCGGGAGAAGCCATTGTGAGCGTGAGAAGTGAAGACGAACGCTGCTGCTGCTGCTGCTGCTGCTGCTGTCGGCTCGGTGGTGACTAGAAGTATCGAGAGCGGCCTCAAACAACCAGTGTCTGTGGTGTGGTTGCCGGACTCAGCTGGAAGGGAGTGAGAAGAGAATAAGAGATGGTCGGAGGGAGTGAGAAGAGAAACTGAGAGAGTCAAAGACGGATGAGAGATGATGGATGGAGCAGAAGACCAGACGGGCAAGAGCTGGAATTTTGGGGGAGAGGTTTTTGTCGGTGCCTGTGTCCCTGTCAGTGAGTCCCAGAAGAAGTCCCTTGCCGTTTCTTTCGTCGGCCGGAAAGCGCCAGATACGCCAGACGCCAGACTGGTCGAGGTGCAGTGCTCCGCAGCTCTTGAATTTTAGTGATGGGCTCCTTGCAAGAACGGCAGGATGCGCCTTTGCTGGAATCCCCAAGAATTGTTGCGGCGGCTGATTGGATACGGGCTGGTCAACCACCTGTCGTTTGTTGGCAATTCCCCAACTTTTTTCTGGACCCTGGTCGTCCCTTGTCCGGGCACCAGGCCGGACCTGCACCCTTGTGGCCATAGCTAAGCCAGAAATGGCATGGCGCTGACAGGAAGCGGGTCCCGATCGCACTTGGGCTTGCATGTACCGGTACCTCGGACCTCGAGCGCCACGCGCATGGTCCGATCCCCCTCCGACCTGCCAAACTCTGTGCTCGCAATCTACGCCGTGGAGGGGTCAGCAGCCAGGCGAGAGAGTCAGGAGCAGCTGGTAGAGCGTAGAGAAGCAGCTTCTGACAATATGGCAGCGGCGATGTCTTCCCTTCGTCCTGGCGCCAGCATAACCAGAGTCAGGACGGCAACAATGGAGGAGAAGCGTGCCACGAAACTCTTCAGGCGCCGCGGGGCACTCGAATCACCCTGGACTATCTCCACTCCGGCCCTGTCTATCGGGTGCCGCGGAGTCCCTGGACGCAATCCACGTACACACTTGCATTCGTGGCCAGCGCCAGGTTTCGCGTAGGGGTTCCAGGGCTGCATGACATGATTGATGACACCGACACCGACTCCCACGAGTATCAGAAATACTATGGCAGTTTCCAGAACGCAGAGCTAGAAACACCGTGTCGTGTTGAGTCGAATGTGTCGGCTCCATCCATGTCATGTCAGATCCATCTGGCGCAGGCTGCACAGCCCGCAGCTGCGCTACGGCGAGAGCTAAAGCTGGCGCTGTCACTGGCGGATGAACACTCCCGGCGCGCTTCACCCAGCGGGCTCCTGGCTAGCCGGACGACCCCCACCTCCGTCCGCTTGTCACGCTAGGGGAAGAGTCATAGGCCCAAGGTGGGAGACGGAAGTCACACTTGCGACAGCTTTGGGTAAGAAATGCTAATATTGATAGAACATGAGGATGATACACTAGTAAGATCCCGTAGTCATGGCCAACTTTGGCATGGCAAGAGCTGAGGAATGGGAGATCGGAATCTGATGTGGGCTCGTGTTAGGTGCTGCCCCTCCATTGCCAGCAGCCAGTAGACGCAAGACAGCCGCCCACAACAGCAGCAGCTGAGCTCCAGTGGCAGTCCCCGCTGCCCTGGCCGTTCTGAAATGGGTGCCCATTCTGGTGGAGAATGCGATCGTCTGTGGTGGGCGCTGCGGGCTGTGCGGGGCAACTTAGCGGCTGGGCAGGTACCGATACCTCGGGTACTGACCGCCCCAAGAGATTGCCCCGCCTAGTTCAACAACCCCCCCAATGGCTGGCCCAATGGTTTTGGTGCATCCTGCGGGTACCTGGCTTTTTTTGCCTGGCCGTCCCCAACCCCAAAGGAAGCCGCGGTCCCCTGCGTGTGTTGCTGTGTCCGGCCAGAATCAGAAGAAGTGTGAGAGGTCTGGCTGCTTCTTTTCGAATCGGCCCTCATCTTTTTTTCCCCAAGCAAGCTGCTCGTCTGGTCGCTCGACCTTCTCCATTCATTCCTCATTCTTCCCTCCGTCTGCTCTCCTCCATCTTCACTCCTGCTCCCACAATTGCCTATCTTCTCTCGACTTTTCTCACACACTCTGCCTTACGCTCACTTGTCGTCTGAGACACTTCTCATCGGTGAGTTGCCCTGCCCCTTGTTTGAGGTGAGAGCGGCGCGTTCTGAGCAGAGGGTCACCATCTGCTTGAAGATTGCGGCCAGATCGCGAAGCAACTAGCAACGCGGTTGATCGCATCTCGCAAATTCTGAACTTGGTAAAAGAAAAAAACAGAGCTGGAGGAGCAATACTGACGCGCGCCAACAGTGAAATAACAGCAAAAGCCTGAAAACCAAGAAAAAGACCACTCACCATGTCGGCGAAGAGCATCTACGAGGCCGACGGCAAGGCTATCCTCAACTATCACCTCACCAGGGCTCCAGTGATCAAGCCGAGTCCGCTGCCGCCGCCGGCCGAGCACAACCCTCCGCCGAAGCTTGCGTCTCTGCGCTTCCCTGAGGGCGCTGACATCAACGCCGTCCTCGACAAGGCCGAGAAGACATACCCCTGGCTTCTTGAGCCCGGCGCCAGGTTCGTCGCGAAGCCCGATCAGCTCATCAAGCGCCGCGGTAAGAGCGGTCTGCTAGCCCTCAACAAGACTTGGGCCGAGGCGAGGGCGTGGGTTGCTGAGCGCGCCGGCAAGCCTCAGCAGGTCGAGCACACAGTCGGCATTCTGCGGTCGTTCCTGGTCGAGCCCTTTGTTCCCCATCCTCCTGAGACTGAGTACTACATCAACGTAAGTCTTGGTGCCTGATTTGGCTGATTTGGCTCCGTGCGTGGCGAGGCCCGAGCTAACGATCCAATAGATCAACTCCGTCCGCGATGTAAGTGTCGACTGTCCAGAAAGCGTGTTCTTGGCATTTCGATTTGGCGTGTTGCCATGGGGTGAAAGTCGCACCGTCTCTCCACTTGCGAGTGCATGTGCATGCTGTGAGCTGGCGGACGTGGCGTGTAGGCGCAAACCACGCGGTGTCGACAAGAGGCGGTGTTGGCGGTGCAGGATGTCGGTGTCTGCAAAAGTTGGGCATTTTTGCGTTTTTATAGTCCGGGGTTCTGTGCGCCGCCGCAGCGGTCCTTTATCGGACGGGGCCGGCGGTTCCGTCTCGATAGGGGTACCGGCCCGTCTACGGACGAACGGAGGCTAAGCCATATCCAGTGGGCCTGATCGGCCCCCACCCGCAACATGCAACACGCACAACATGTTAGACGCGGCTCTTTACTGACCGGCGATGACATCATAGGGCGACTGGATTCTCTTCACACACGAGGGTGGTGTCGACGTCGGTGATGTCGATGCTAAGGCTGAGAAGCTGCTTATTCCCGTCGACCTCTCGGAGTACCCCTCCAACGAGGAGATTGCTGCTACTCTCTTGAAGAACGTGCCTAAGGGCCTGCACAATGTCCTGGTCGACTTCAGTAAGTGTCTCCGCTGTTCTCATTGTTGGTATCAATCGCTGACATATGCAGTCACTCGTCTCTATGCCGTCTATGTTGACTGCCAGTTCACATACCTGGAGATCAACCCCTTGGTTGTGATCCCCAACGAGGACTGCACCTCGGCCTCTGTTCACTTCCTCGATCTGGCTGCCAAGCTTGACCAGACTGCCGACTTTGAGTGCGGTCAGAAGTGGGCGATTGCCCGCGCTCCGCAGAACCTGGGCATCGTTGTCGATGACGAGCCGCAGAACAGCACTGTCAACATCGACGCCGGCCCGCCGATGGAGTTCCCTGCTCCTTTCGGGCGTGAGCTGTCCAAGGAGGAGGCCTACATCGCTGAGCTCGACGCCAAGACCGGTGCTTCGCTCAAGCTTACTGTCCTGAACCCGAATGGCCGCATCTGGACCCTGGTCGCCGGTGGTGGTGCTTCGGTCGTCTATGCCGACGCCATCGCCTCGGCTGGTTTCGCCGATGAGCTCGCCAACTATGGTGAGTACTCTGGTGCTCCTACTGAGTCCCAGACATACCATTATGCTCGCACCGTGCTCGACCTCATGCTCCGGGCGCCCATGCACCCTAAGGGCAAGGTCCTGTTCATCGGTGGTGGCATTGCGAACTTCACCAACGTCGCCAGCACCTTCAAGGGTGTTATCAAGGCTCTCCGGGAGTACGCGAAGGCGCTTAATGAGCACAACGTGCAGATCTGGGTCCGCCGTGCCGGTCCCAACTACCAGGAGGGTCTGAAGAACATGAAGGCTGCCACACAAGAGCTTGGCCTCAATGCTAAGATCTTCGGCCCTGAGATGCACGTCAGCGGTATCGTCCCGCTGGCGCTGATCCCCGGGAAGTGGGAAGAGAACACGATCAAGGAGTTTGAGGGGTGATTTGATTTTGAGGGTTCAGATTTGCGGTGGTTTGCCTTCTCTGCGGCATAGATTCTTTTACGGCGCTTTACGGGGAAGACCCCTATAGAGTATAATAAATCAGTTATGTGAAATGACGGTTTAATGATAAGAACTTTGACTGGCACATTTCCCTCCTTGGTGATTCTGGTGACTGAGATTCTTGGTGACAAAAGGCATGGGCACTCGAGGGTAGCAGGCAGCGAACTCAAGGGCAAGTACTTGATTTCCGGCAATGCCGTGATGATACCTAATGACAAGACTGCCACAACGAACCAGATAAAACAGGACCAGCTCCGTCCGGCATGCATGCATGACCAGGAGCATAACGACCGGCCACTGTAACAATTAAAGAGAATTATATACACACAAGTGTGATGAGCAACCACGTAAATGATCCATGTACCCGACTAGTTTATGCGACACAGAGGCCTTTTACTTTTCACTACCGATCAAGAGGACCAGTGCAGAAATAGGAATGGCGGGGCTACTTGATCATACCAGTTCTAGCTTGGTTTAGAAAAGGGTAGTCAGCACGGCCATGGCGCCCATAGCGACAGCAGTGAAGAGGGCAGCGGCCGGGCGCACGGCAGCGTCCTCCTCGGCATCCTCGTCGTCGCTGCTAGTGCCAGCGGAGGTGGTGCTGTTGGCGGAGATGGTGATATCGTTGACGCCAGCCCCTGGGTTATGACGTTAGTCGGGGTTTCTTGTGGGCAAGAGGGGAAGGGAGCACATACTGTTGATCTCATCATCCTTAAGCTTCTTCACCTTGAGCCCCTTGATCTCCGTGCCATCTGGGGCATACACCTTCAGCTTGACCTCCCAGTTGTCAATATCGACGATCTTGCCCTTTGGAGTCGGCTTGACACCCTTCTTGATGATGTCCTCAACATTCGGCGGCTCGACGGGCAGAGTGAAGTTGCTGTTGAAGCCCTTGGTGGTGATAAGCTTGGAGTCGCAGGTTGGGGCCTTGGGGGCGTCGCTCGACGGCGGCTTCTTACTCTGGATGGCCTCCCAGTCGAGCTTGGCGTACTGCGAGCGCAGGACGACGTAGTCGTTGAGCAGCTTGGCGGACTTGTCAGAGGACGAGAGGTCGACCAGGCCGTAGTTGTTGGCTTCCTGCGTGTACTCGTAGACCACGCCACCGGAGAAGACGGTGTCCATCTTGTCGGAGTAAATAGTGGTGACTTCCTGGAAGATGCGGGGGAGCACCTCGTTGCAGCCATACTCGGAGAAGAAAACGGGGACGGGAGAGTCCTTAAATCCGGCGACCAGATCGTCGTAAGTAGCCTCTTCGAAGGTGCTTTCGCCACACCAGCTGTAGCTGTTGAGGGCGAAGATGTCGGCCTGGGAAATGTCGTCGTCTTCATCCTCCAGGGAGCAGGTGAAGTAGCGGAAAGTGTCAAACAGCGAGCTGCGGACGTCGGCGGCGGAATATCCGACGGGGATCTTGCGGTCGCAGTGGCGCTTGACGTAGTTTTTGATGTCGCGGGTGACAGCGCGCATGTAGGGGGGTACAGTGGCGGTGGTCTCCGGGCGGTCAATGACCTCGTTGCCGGCAAAGAAGGCCAGGGTGTTGGGGTAGTTCTTGAAGGCCTCGACAACGGCGAAGGTCCGGTTGAGGTACGTGTCATAGTACGACTCCCACGGGTTGTAGCTCGTCAGGGCCTCGCCGACCAGCGGGGAGTTGACATCCAGGATCATGTAGATGCCGGCAGCGTTGAAGATGCTGGCGCACTTATCGTGGTTCAGGTCCGGGTTGACGTTGTACACACGGATGGTATTGACACCCAGGACCTGAAGGATGGCGGCGTCGCGAAGGCATACCTCCTCGTCGCTCAAGGGATCGATGCCGGATTCCTTGTTGTAGCCGGCAGAGCCGCCCGGCTGATAGGCAACGCCGACAATCTGGAAGCGGTTGCCGGTCTTGGGGTTTACGAAGTACTGGCCCTTGACCTCGAGCGGCGGCACGGCCGCAACGAGGGTTGCGCCAAGCGCAACAAGTGCAGTTTGCAGCTGGGAGAAAGTCAGTCATCACTCAGATAAAGCCATGGTTTTGGTCAGGATCGCTACGCACAAGCATGGTGAGCTCAGTCGGTCCAGGCGATTATGCGTAAATTGGTTGCAAGTTGTGATTTGGCCGTTGGTGGTTGGAATGAGAGATGGCGGTCGGTTCGTGATGTGTGGTAAAGAAAATGTCGGAGTTGTGGGAGCAAAAAGACCACGGTTCAAAAGAGCGACAAGAAGATAGAAGGTTAATTGCCCTAGGCAGAAAACCTTCCTTCAAAGCACCAACGAGTGACAGGCCCTGGGGACAAGGCGGCGAGGTTGGACGGAGGGAGGGTGAGGGTTGAAGATGGGATGAACAAGAAGCAGAAGGGTCAATGTGAGACAGCACGGGTGCTCACGCTTCATTTTGAGCGTTGAGCCCACTCACTGTGCCAGGGGTGCAACTCTATGCCGCTGTGACACGAGACGGGTGCCAAGCTCAGGGGATGTACAGGGGCCAGTTCCCCAGTGCGGCCTAGCCGGCAGTGGCTGCCAGCGAGCGCTGCTTGGCTCATTCCTGGCGCTTGCCTCAGAAGGGGAAGTCGCCAAGCAGCCGAGACAGCGGCGGCGAGCAACGAACGCCAACGAAGATGGCAATCTGCGAGCCACGATGATTGGCATGATTGACATAATTGGCCGGGTGGCTCAGGGGAAATTGGGGACGCCTCTGAGCATTTTCTGGGCATCTTCTGGGCGCAACGCTCCCGCTGCTGCTGCGCGGCCTCACCGTGAAATCTCAGTGAATGACAGGATTTCATTTGGGTCCAAGCTAATGTGCGAGTGCATGAAGCAGCACAGCAAGATATGACGGGCAAACAGGTTTCTTTCCCTGATTGCAGCCAGTGCAACATGGAACCAGTGGACAATGTCTGTGTTATCGTCTTATCAAGGAACTCAGGTTTCATATTGTTGGCTTGCAAGTCTGACCGCATATGTTGTGAACAGTGATAGACATCAAGACAGAGAGATCAGTAGACTTGATATGCTGCTTGCAGGAAAAATCACCCCCAGTGTTCTTTGATATCCAAAAGGACCATCGCATTTTGAGAAGGAGTTGCCGCTTTTTTGCTAACCGATTGGCCAGCAACGCAGACCCTGGCTCACAGCAGAGTGCAAACGCTCATTTCGTTTCACCATGGAGTTTGTTTCAACTGATAGCCCCAACCAGGGTGTGATTTGGGTGTTATTACTGTGTTTAACGCTCCAAATCATAATGGAGGGTCTGCTGTTGTGTGACTGAACAATGGATGTGTTTGGATGAACTATTCAATTAGGTCACGGGATGAGGGGCAGTTGATGACAAAGCACCTAGCCTGACAAATGAGCTTCTGGATGCTCGTCGAACATTCGCCTCAGCGTAGTGTAGATTTTACCCATAGTCTATAGCTTCAGGGTTGTTGCTGACACTACACTGTATCTCTTAGTTCCATCACTATTTGATTTTTGAGTCTTGAGTCTATTCAGCTTCTAAGACAACCAAAAAAAAAAAAAAAGTTCAGCCAAATATCTTTTTTTGGTCAAACAAACTCACAAGCAACCTTCACGATACACATTCAGCCTCAACATTAAGTCCATCAAACCCAAAGCAAGCAACCAAAGATGGGAGACCTGAGCTCTGAAGCCGAGGTTGACAACAATCCCATCCGCCAACACGCTCAAGAAATCCTCGATGACACCTCCATCGAAATTGTCATCAAATTCCCTCCCGCCCAGCACACCCAAACCTGGAACTTCTCTCCCTCCGACACCTTTGCCCATCTCATTCAGGCTCTCTCTCTGGAGTTCCCCTCCTACGACTGGTCCAAGGCCAAAGCCCTTCCCGAAAAGAAGCCCCAACCACAAGGGTCAGGCGGCGTCAAGCCCAAGGCAGTCTATACCCCCTCAGCAGATGGCCCCCTCTCCTTGAGTGTTCTCCATGGGGCAACACTCCGCTTCCTCGCCCCTCAGACATCGGACCTGGAGACACTCCAAAAACAACAACACTCCTCCACAACTCAACAAGCCCGCCGGATTTTAGCTAGGGCCCACCAACTCCGCAACGCAGCCCGCCCTCTATCTCGCTCCTCCGGCCCCCGAATCGCCACCCTCTCCTCTCCCTCAGGCCCATCCCTATCCGAAGAATACACCTTCCAGACCCTCCGGCCCCTCTCCCACCTCCCTAACAGCCACACTTCTTTGTCTATTCTCGAAAAGCTAAAAAATGATCCCGGCATCCGCCACGCAATGTCCCACTTCCGCCTACGCGTACAGCTCCTGACCGAAATGGACCCCCTCACTTACACGTCCGTCTCCCGCTCCGGTGACAGCGTGACGCGCATCCTAGGCCTAAACCGCAACCAAGGCGAGGTGATTGAGCTCAGATTACGTACTGACGCGTATGACGGGTGGCGGAATTATCGGTCTATCAGAAAAACGTTGTGTCATGAGCTGGCGCATAATAGGTTTGGAGAGCACGATGCAAACTTCTGGAGGTTTTGCAAGGAGATTGAGAGGGAGGTTGAGAAGGGGGATTAATTGGGGGAGAGGAAAAGGAAGAGTTGTGGGAGATGGGGAAGGGGGCGAGGAGTTTGCTCCTGCTAGGGACGGCGAGGACGAAACTGAGGAAGAAGGGATGGTGCAGGATCATGGGGGATGGTATGGGGGGACGTATGTGTTGGGAGGAGGGGAAAGTGGTAGTAGTGGGACGGGAGGGAGGCAGGATGTCAGTCCGGAGAGGATGAGAGCATTGGTTGCTGCTGCGGCGGAGTTGAGGATGAGGAAGGAGAGGGAGGCGAGGGAGAGACTAGAGAGAGAAGAGCGGAAGAAAAGGGAAGAGGAGGGAGAGAAGAGAGACGGTTAGGGGGTTATACCTGAGCGGTCAAGGTCTCTTGGATGCGACGGGCACAACTTTCACTTCGCAGTTACATTATTACTTCAAGCAATATCAGTTACAGCGACCATATAGCGCTCAGCTCTTTCCATCATACTTTTTGAGGCAGGTAGTACTATTAACACACACAAACATATATACACAACAAGCATGGTAAAAATAACCAAACCACACCCAGCCTCAAGTAATTAAAAAAAAACCTCATCTCGCCCCTACCAGAATCTCGAAGCCCCATTCCAAGGGGCACGTCTCCTGTCCTGTCCTGTTTTCGCTTGAGCTGAATGTCTAAGCAGAAGCAATGGAAGATAGAGACAACGACTGCGTGATAGAATGGATACCAAAACAAAGAGAAAGCAAAGAGCGTTAAGAGATAGATGCTTGATAGAAAAGTGAAGAGAAAATCGAAACGAAAGCCTTAACTCCCACCAGCGCCGAGCCTCGACCAGGAAGGAAATGTATCCTGTGCTCTGCTAAGTATACACATACCCTCTTCTCCTGACCACACAGAAAACAAAACAAAACAAAGCATTAAACAGCAGGTCAGCAGTCAAAGTACGCCGAAGCCAGTAAGCCAGATTAAGCCGCAAATCGCCAAGCCGGCACCCGTCCTCAATCTCGATGACAGCACTTCATGCGTGTCAGTACGATATATGAGGATAAAGACGCCAACCCGGCAGGGGTATCAAGCCCATCCCGTCCCGCCCCATAATTGCGATATTAATACCCAGAGAGCCCATGCAAATCAACCCAGCCATAAGAATGCTTCAAAGAGAGAGAGAAAAAAAAAATCGCTCCGTGACCCGTCCCGCTTGTCCGTCCATCCGTTCTATCCCGCCCACACAAGCGTAAAACCAACGCCAGTCGGTCGCTCAGTCAGTACCTCGATCGGTTCTGTTACCTCCCGATCTGGGAAGATCTTAGGTAGGCCCGATGCGAAATCAAGCCTCCTTCCTCTCCGCCCCCATCTCTCTCCCCGAACCCTAGGCAGATTCCGGCTTCGTCTATGCTGGAGCCTCGGTCTTGAATCCCTCCTCAACCCTCAGCTGACTCCTCTCCATCTCTCCCTCGGTCTCCGTCCCAGGTTCTTGCTCCGTTTCTGTCCATCCCACGGTACTCATCCCCTCATCAAACTCCCCGTCAATCCTCTCCCCAACCTCCGTCTCATCCCCCTCATCATCACCCACTGACGACGAGCTCGACACACACCCCGACGCACACGCTGACATGTAGTCACCTGCGTCTGCAGAACCCGGGTTTGATGAGGCAGATGCGGTAGCCGATCCAGATCCGGATGAAGAAGAGGAAGAATCGTCCCCGTATTGTCGGTTATCAGTCTCGGTCTCGAGCATAGAGTCCTCTGGGGCAGCCAAGACCTTCCTAGATAACCCCCTTCTCCTCTTTCCCTGATGATGATGATGTTGTTGATGATGAGCTTTCTTCCCCTTCTCTTTCCGTTTTCTCTTCTCTTTCTCGGAGTCTTCAGAAGAAGACGACTGCTCATTATCCGACCACATTCCCAACCGACGAACCAACTTTGATTCTAGCAGACTGACCAATCTCTCACTGTACTGGTCAAGCAGTGACTCAAGCATGGCCTCGCTGACAGGAGCCTTAGCATGTTCATGGCCGTGGCGATCGCAGGTCTCATCAGACTGAACACCATCCCCAAGTCCATTACCATTCTCCCCGCGATGTCCATGATATCCATGGGAATGCGAGTGCCCGTGATGATGATGCCGGTGCCCGTGACCATGTCTAACCCTCGTACGGATAGCCCTCTCCCCCAGCGCCGCAGCCGTGAGTCTCAGCTCTGAATCCAACTGCGCCAGCAGGTCTGCATCAACGTCGCCGCTCTTGTCTGCAGATAACTTCTTACGAAACGCACGTAATTGACGGCATGTCTGCTCAGTGGCCATGCTGAGAGAGCCATAGGTATACTTAACGGCCGGGATCTTGCTGAGACTGCTGCTGGTAGTTTTGCCGTTGGTGCCGGTCGTCTTGGTTGCACGAGTCCGGGTTGTAGACTTCGTCGTGGTGGTGGTTGTCGCACCGTTGGTTGTGCTGTTTGGTGCTGTAGCGGTCGTGGTAGATGCCGACGAGGACGAATTCTTACGTGATGGAGCCGTGTTGATCGACGCATTGGAATTGCCATTAATAGGTGCAGAAGTGCTCGAGGTATGCGCTGTAATCGCATTTAAAACATTCAGCGACGGCCTGCTCCGGTACACGCTCCGCAACGACCCTGTAGCTGACGCCGACGTAACCGCCTTGGGGCTTTCAGACGGGGGCGTCGGCGCATCAGCAGACGGGCTGACCCGTCCCGAGGATGGCGCTCGCGTGGCCCGAGAGGGTGTGTCTTCGGCCGTGGCAGCGGCTGGTTGTGGGGCAGGTCCCTGAGCCGTCATGTTGTTCGTTGTCGTCGGCACGGGTGTCGCAGACGGGCTAGCTTGCTTTTCACTGGAGTTCGGGGTACGAACAGAAGACAGGGGGACGTGAAAACGAGATACACGACGGGAGTTTGTGGTGCTCGCAGTCGGAGTGTTCGGGGTATTCGCGGCACCACGAGGGGGCGAACGACGGCCAGTGCTCGCCCCCGATGCGTTTGCCGACGAGCGCTGGAACTCGGCCAGCTCAGCCTTCGACAATACCCGACGAAGCGGCGGCCGCGCGGACGTCAACCCAGGCGTTTTCTCCGGGGAGGGATCTCGTTGACGAGACGACGTTGTGGCAGTTGGTTCTTGAATCTCCAGGCCCCAAACCATGATCGTCCCATCTTCACCCACACTAACCACCTTCCGTCCCGTTTCATCCGTGTCGATCAGAACAACCCCGTTGATTGCTTCCGTGTGCCCCCACTCGCGGTCGAGGAAGGCCCCCGACAGGGCCTCGTATATTCTAATCGACTTGTCCGTGTTTGAAATGCCCAACAAAAACGGTACGTCGTAGCTGCCGATCAGCCCGTAGGTGAGCGACTCCAGAACGACTGAGTCGTGCCCGGCCTCATCGCTGCATTTGAACGAACTTAACAGCCGCCCGTTGGCCGCATCAAACTGACACACGGTACGATCCAGAAGCGAGACAAAGATGCTCTTGTTGTCCGGCGAAGTCGTCATGGACGATGGCGACGCCCGCAGGGAAATCGTCTTGAAGGGGATGGCTGCGATAACGTCGGGCTCGCCTTCCTTGGACACCAGATCGTAGATCTGCAGCGTCCGGTCGAGCGAGCAGGTCAAGACCTTGTCTTCAGACGGGATAAGGACCTGCACGACTTTGGCGCTGAACTCGAGCGTCTGGAAATGCTCGAACTCGCCTAGCGGTGACGAGGAACGATGAAACAGCTGGACGGTCCGGTCCTTACCGCACGAGGCCAGCAGGAAGCGCGACTCTCCCTCCAAGACGGAGATGTCCTGGAAGTCGGACGAGTGTGCCTTGGTCTCCAGCAAGCACTCGCCAGCGGCTACGTCCACGATCCTCAGCACGCCCAGCTTGTCTCCCGTGATGAACAGGGTGCCGTCGTTGGTTGCCTTCGCAACGACGAGCTGGTTCGCAGCGTCTGGATCGCTGCCGCCGGTGCCATTGGGGACGGGCTGTTCGACCTGCTCAATGGGAATATCGAGGGTCGCCTTCACCAGACCGCCCATGTCCCAGACGGTTACGCGACCAGCGCTGGACCAGGTGAAGAAACTGGCCCCTAGCGAATTGGAAGCAGCTAACCTCTGAATCCCGACGACAGGGTCACCGAGGCCCGGAATAGGGATGCGAGTCGTGCTGCTATCATCCTGGGAAGAGGCCAGCATGGCATCCGGGCTCCATATATCAATGGACCGTTTGCTGTCAATCGTCACCAAGTGATCGGCCAGGAAACCCATGGCCATGAAGCCGGGCACCATCTGCGATGTGCGGATGGTCGGTTCAGGGGTACCAGCCAGGATGCTCTCCAGGCTAATGCAAGCAAGCTGGCCATCCTTTCCACCAATATACACGTTCTCCCCTCTCATGGAAAGACAGCTGATGGGGAAGCTCAGGTCCAGCAATTTAGCAAACTTTGGCTGCTTCCCGGTATCCTCCAGCAGACACACGGCGCCTGTCTCTGAGCAGATGATGGCCTTCTCGTCCGAGATGGGCAGGGCACAGCAGAAGGTGGCCTCCAGCATGGACCCAAGTAAGATATTCCTGCCTTGTAGGGGCTGCTTCTGCGGTGGCTGAGACGGCGGGGCAGCGGTCATGCTGGAAGATGCTGCAGCTGCAGCTGCAGCTGCAGTGCCAACAACAGTAGACGAAGCACTAGAAACCGAAGATGTAGCGGCTGAAGCTGAAGCAGCACTTGCCGAGGAAAACGAAGCTGGGGCAGAGGAAGAGCCCGCCGTCGAGTCCCCTTGGAGTTTCTGTTTCGAAAGGGAGTTCTCAGCAGTGTCGTCAACGCGCCAAAGCTTGACATGGCGCACGCCCAGAGTAATTAAACTGGGTCCCATCCACACCATGTGCTTCACGAACGAGGTGCAGCGGTTTTGTTGAAACAGCTTCATGGCGCCCGTACGTGAATCGACCTTCCACAGGTACAAGAATCCATCATTGGCTGACCCAAGAGAAGCGAGGTACTTGCCGTCGGGTGACCAGGAGACGGCACGAACGCCAAAGGTGTGTTCGCTAATGGACACTAATGGTATATCAGAAGAAGCTTCTTGTAGGCTAAAAATAAGTACGCGCGGGGCATAGCCCGTCTCGCCAACAGCTAGAAAACGGCCATCGCGGCTGAGGGCCAAGCATGTGGCAGCCTTGATGCGCTCACGGCTTGTCCATGTTTTGGAGGTAGGAGACGACTCTGACCAATCAGTAGTCTGGTAGGTTGTGCCATCCCTCGGCGAGGGCGCAACGCGCCCTCTGCTATCGCTCGATTTTGGCGTCGAGGACTGTGTGGACGAAGGATTGGAGGCCTGGGAGGAAGAGAGTAAAGGAACGGCATTGGGTCTGGCACGGAAGAAGCGTTGGGAGTAGCTGTTCTCCGAGACATCGACAACCACGACGGCGCCGCCAGCTATGTAGGCGAAGGACGAGTTGACGGTGTCAAAGCCGGTTGGTGAGCAACAGGTAGACCCTATGACGCGCTGGAGGGTCAGGCAGCACGATTCGGGCAGGGACCTGGAGCGATGGCCCCGCGCGGAGCGGGATGAATAAGGAGAGTTGGATGTTGTGGGCTTAGTCCGGTTCAAGGGAGTGGATGCCATCGCGCTCTTTCGCCATGGACCGAAAAGGTATAATATTGACTGGCGAGGATGTGAAGCAGGCGGCGGTGTAAGTTAGCCAGGACGTCGAGACATCGGCTGGACCACTCGAGCACAACAACAACAACGTAGAGGGAAAGGTAGTGAGAAATCAGGAAAGAAAGAATCTGTCTGGTGTGTTGTCTTGGAGTCGAAGGGGGTAAGTTCTAAGGGATGATCCTGGATTTAGCAGCGATGAGATGGTATATGGTTCGGGAAGAGGGGAAATGTGCGTGCGGTAACGTGTGTGCGCGCTATGTGGTATGGTATGCGGTATGCGGTATGCGGTATGCGGTATGCGCTCTGAAAAGTGCCTCTGTGGTCCTGTATGTGTATCTGTGGCGTGTCTGTGTGCTTGTGTCTCTGCTGAACGAATGATGGCAGAACACGGAGAGGATGTGGATGTAAGGCAAATGTGCCGGAGTGCTTGATTTGTTGTTTTCAAAGGCTACAGCACGGCGTGTTGGTCAGAAGGTACGGGCTGGTGCAGAACAGGTATGAGGAGCGGTCCAGGCCAGCACAGGCAGCGGCAAGGCTGGATGGACGGATGGAAGCAGGCACGACAATAGCCGGTAAAGCAGGGCACTTACAGCGACATCAAGGACGTGGTGCAGCAAGACAAGTCGGCCTGGATCTGTCTCGGCACCTTTGTCGGTTTGGACTGTCTGGAGGGGTATCGGACTGTCTGGTTTCAGGGACTGATGGCGGCAATGGCTCTGACGAGAGTCGGATGCCCGTATTGTCGTTTTTGATTATGGTATTGGGGCTGTCGGGCGGGATAATCGCGATACCTGCTGCACGTCACACCAGACACCCGGACGCAGTCGTGATAACTAAGTAATGAGCACAAATGAAATGAAAAGAAGTAAAGTACAAAAAGTGCGGTTCTAAGAATGGATTGTCAAAGTCGATGAGTGAGTGAATGGGTGTTGGTGCAGTGAATGAAAGCCCACATCCACCGCACAACTCACCACAGAGTTGGTCCTGCCCTTGAAAACCTGGCTGGCCTTGTGCCTGGCCGCTTTGCCGGGTCGGGTCTTTTTGTTGTGGCAGGGGTGGGGGCACATTTTAGGTTCCACTCACCACAGTCTTGGCGTGGTAAGCTCTGCCGCCTGGCTGGCTCAGCTGGGGATCGAGGGGAACTGTGGCTCGTCCTCCTGCTCCATCGAGCACCCAGCCTTGCCTTTTCTGTCGGCCCACCGCTGCTTTTTCTTCCCCAGCTGACCAATCAGACTGCGCGCCTGATTTCCAGCGGGCAGCCGCGGTCGAGCGACAAGTGACAAGCGAAAAGTCACCGATCCATTCCCCATTCCATGCAGCACAGTACTCTCTCCATGTTTTTTCCCTGCCGCAAAGTCGTTGGGCATCCGCGCAGCAACACATCCGGGTTCGGAGGACTCGATCAAAGATCCGCGAAGATCGGGGACTCTGCACCTCAGTACCGCAACTTAATTGTGATCTCGAGACGTGTCGCTCATCTAGGATTCCAAGGAAACCTCTTGGCGATGGTTGATGGCGTGCCACGCATGCGGAACTCACCCCACGATGCCAGTGAGCTTGACCGCTGAGCCGCGACGTTGCATTAGCGCGGCCCGGCCTGCAGCCAGTGAGATTGAATGGCAACTGCGCTGCTGTGACAGCTGGATCGGCCACCGCAGCTGGGCTGGCCTTGTTGGCGATGATATCAATGGACTTTCCAACGGACATCGATGAACATAATGCAAATTTCCGGAAGACATTATGTAGATGATGATGTCATACCGTAAGAGAACAGTATCATGGATATTCAGTCTTGCTTCCCCACCTCCAAACATTGTCATGCCAATTCAAAGAGTATCATGTATCTATTCACATAGGCTGCTGATTTTTTTTGACAGAGCGCCTATCCCATATGCAATGCCAAACGCCATCCCCATGCAATCCGTACAATAGGTAAGTGAACGGAAAAAAAATCCCAAACAGAAAACATTTAGGCATGATCCATATCGTACAAGTCTCCCATATGTTGCCAAACATGCATCCAGTCGACCAGTCACCTTTTCTTCCCGTCTAGCAGCTCTGTTCTGCTTCTGCCAAAACCCCTTTACATTCGCCTTATCCCTCTTATCTCACTCACCCAAACTCAACACCCTTTTAACCCAACATATTCTTCGACAACTGTCTCTGCGCCTCGGCCCTAGCCACTTTATCCTTATGTGTTGGCCCGCGCGGTACATTCCAGTACGGATCGCGCACGACTCCCTGCTCACGCCATCTACGCGGCGGCTTCTTGCCGAGCTCGGCCCAGCGCTGCCAGACCCGAATGCCGCGCCGGAACCAGCGCTCCTGCCGCTCCAACTCTTCCTCCTCCGTTGGCTCCCACTTGCTGCGCAGGATGCGCCGGATGGCCTCGGGCGAAACCTCAAACTTCTGTGCGAGCACGGGCGTCGTGTACTCGTCGGGGAACGCCTTGTGCAGCATGCGAATGCCGACAATGGCGTCGGGGGAGAGACGCTTGCGCGGATTCCACCCCTCGGGGAATTTTTTCTTGAGAGCCTCTTTCTGGATCATCCAAGGCTCTTTCTGCTTTTTGGGTTTATCGTCTTCCTCCTTTGGTTTCAACTCTTTTGCGTTCTTTGCCGTCTTCTTCTTTTTTTTGGGCTTGCTCTCCTCGTTTCTCTCGTCCAACGTAGCGGTAGGCCTCTCTTCAGCCTTGGGCGTTGACTCTGCCTTTGACTCGGACGAGCTAGTTATTTCTGACGCTGTCGCCTTTGCGGGCTCGCCGCTTTCGGCTTCATTATACCGAGCACATGATGTGTGAAGGAATCGAGGGGAAAGCGCAAATCTTGCTTCGGGGATGATTGGCTGGTTTTGTGCGGCGAAGACTTGTGAGAAGATAAGGCGCGTTGCTGCTGGTGGCGGCCGGGGAGGGGCATGGATCTGGGCGATACTTCGCACAAAAATGCGCAGGGCGGCTGTACGGCAGGTGCAATCCATGATGTGATCTCAAAGAGCGTTCCCTTGTAGAGAGAGAGTAGGAATGTCGCTAGACAAGGCGCTTTAAAAAGGGATATTAGAAGCACAAATTTGGGTCGGGCGTTGAGAAGCTCTGCAAACGCTTCGATGTGAAAATTTCCCTGGGCCAAACTGCATCCCCAGAGTTCCGGCGCGCCACGCTGTTTTGGGTGGAGATCTGTGGGGCAAACTACCGAAACGGCCAGGAACCGTTCGACGGAGGCCGACCCGTCATTGGCCCACAGAACAAGTGGGGCTGTGCTACTTCAAGAAATAAGTAAATGATGGATGGTAGGAACAAGGGACCAAACTTTAAATGTGATATCAAACTGAAGCAAGCAGATGATAGATGAGTCACAAGGAATGTTAATTGTACAAGGTCTACTTTTCATAGTTTATATAATAGCCCGTTTCTACTTAGCTTCCCGTGTTGACTGCGAAGATGAGACCTATGTCGGCAGCAGAGACATGGTATGTCGGAAAAGCCGGGACTCACCATCACTTTTGGCTCCACAAGTCGACCTGTTTAAACATGATTAAATACACTATATAGTGAGCTACTGAACGCTCTTCAGTGCTGCCCAGTGGTACGTGGCCTGTGCACAGTATTGGTGCACTTAGCTCCCTGCTTCCGTCCCAGCAAAACATGGGATGAAATTGAAATACCAGTTACAACTCCCAACAGTCACAAAACTCTCACCAACCAGCGCACATCTCGATAGCTGACCGTCTGCGGAATTGAACAACGATATAAAAAGAAAAGAGAAGAGAAAAGAGCCATGAAGGAAAAAGCAGAAACAACCTGTCCCTCCACAACCCCCTGTGTCTATTGAGGGATGGGGGATGGGCGCCGCCCACTCCTCGGGTTGAACCCCGGGCCTGTTGGGATTTCACCTTTCTCGAAGGAGGCGGTTAACTACCTATACCACTTGATCATTTGGCCAAGCAGTAGAGCTGGTTGTTGGAAAGGGCAGTGCTAGAAGTAATATATATCTAGTTTGGAACGTGCGGGTTGTGGGAGGGAAATAGCGAGAGGGGAAGGGACTGATCTGACTGGTGCGCCAGGATTATCACTCGGTAACTTTTACTTCAATCTCAATAAGACTGCAGCTATTTCGCTGCAACCCAGTCAGCTAATTCTGAACCAAGGTGATTTATGAGATGCATCGTTCTTCAGTTCTCTGAGAAACAGTCCCCCTTGATCACAGGACCAGTCCTTGCTTGTTACAACTACGAGCGCCTGTTTCTTGTTCACCGAAAACTCCCAATTTCTATTGACTAACCTTCATTACATGATTGTAAATCAGATGAGCTATCTCACTAGGTGTCGCCTTTTTGGAATGACTATGAACGTTGAAACTCCATCCATGCTGTCGGGAATTGGCTGTATATCTGTCAACCAGTGAACATTACTTGTGACTTTGAAGTCATACTCACTGAAGGGTGTGTCGAACTCCTTCCCTGCTGCATCTAACAGGTTTGCTCTCCTCGACCAGTTCTGCTGAGCCACATTCAAACATAAAGGCCGGATAACATCCTCATGTCTAATCTAATGGGCGAAGTTGAATCATCTGATACGCAAACTACACTTTCCGTAGCCAACTTTTCCCCCAATTAGTATAGATTGTCTATGCTTGAGACAGTAGCGGACTACTGCTACCTAGCTTGGCTGTCCGCAAGGGGTTTGAAACATTAGCGGACTTATCCCTAGTCTATGTTACATTGAGAGAGCTGGTCAAGGGCTGGGTGATTTGAACGTTCTCATCATTCAGCGGTCACCGCTGCAGGACTGATGTAAACGGAATTAGGCTCTTAGCGATGTCAGGATAGCCACTGATGAGCCAGTCTGGGAATCAGTTTGAACGTCGCCAAAGCTCATGGTATTGTCTCCAACCACAGAGGACCTTTCGGGGATCAGCTGGGAGTGAAACTGAAGAAGATGTTTTTAGTCTTACCCTGTTCAATTGGGAGAGACGGCCAGCTCGGCTACCGGAGTTTGTCGGAGCAATCATATGGCAATAAGTTCATCTTCAATTGGATTTTCGTCTATTTCCCAGTTTATTCTTCGAGTCCTTCATTTACCACTTCCTTTAATACCATGGCAGCTGCGTAGTGCCACGTCCCGCGACATTTCCTTGACAGTTACCAATACCCGGCCAAGCTCAGCAATCATCCACACATCAGTCAGTCCTATTGAAGATCGGGAAGAAAAGCTCCGGAGATACTGCAACGATCCGCTCAGGCACCAGAAAACCGTCAACCAAGCATGCTCCGCCACGAAATATCAGATGTTTAAGACAGCAGTATAAGCAACATAGAGCCAAAGGGTTGGTTGGACGACCCGAAGGGATGGTGAAACGGATCCTGCTTCGCTTGGCGGCAATATTCCGTGCTGCTGTGTAAAGGGCGTTGTGGCTTAGACTTTTGGGATCTGAGACAGTGCAAAATAGTTACGGACGGGAGCAAAAGACAAACGGATTTGATAAAATCATTTTCATTTTTTGGATAATTAGTACGACAGAATGTCAATAAGATAGGCAGACTAACAGATGTCCGCTCAACCGCTACGGTTGGAAACCCAAACAGACATGCTACTTCCCATGATGATGAAAAACGATGTGATAATGACCACAAACAGCCTTGTCCCACAAACTCTTTGGCACCGCAAACGCCGACCGCTCTGTCGCCCAGTTACCCCGAACCCCATACAGTTTTATTGCTCCCATGAGAATGATAACATGTGAAGGAAGGAAACTCATGAACAGGTAAACAAATAAGCCATAGCTCGTGCATGACCCTTCAAGCATCATGCATCAACTCAACCGGCGGCCTGGCCGTATGCAGCAGCTTAATCGGCACAGGCGGGCGCGGTGCAGGCGGGAATCCTGCGGCACCACGCTCCTCTAGGTCATCCGTCATATCATCGACCGTAACACACGGCAGATCCGGGTTAGCCCCCATAGCCTCAGGCTGGAAAATTAACGTTGAGCTGCGACTCCTAGTCTTCCTCTCTCCATCGCCGGGCACCGACAATGGCGTAATCGGCGATGCGTTGCCGCCGTGCTCTTGGTACTGCTTCAGTTTGGCGAGCGCCTCGGCCAGATCATCGGCATGCACCATTTTGTTGGGCGGCTCCTCGCAGCGCTGCTCCCAGCCGTGCGGCGGGCTAGGCGGCGGCGAGATAAAGAAGAGCTTACCGGCGTCGGGCAGCGCCAGGTGTGTGTCGGCGCGCGTCGGGGCGCCCACGGGTGTGGGCTGTCCGAAGTAGATGCGGCAGCGGTCGCCCAGGATCGCGGTGCCGTCCCACTTGGCGCGCACGCGGATCGCGGCGTCTTCGTCTTGGAAGGAGACGATGATGCGGGCGAAGGATTTCAGCGGCGAGAAGGTGTTGATCTTGACGGTGGTATCTTGGCAGAGCTCGTCGCGGAATTTTTGCAAATTGTCAGGCTGGAAGATCTCGGGGTTCATGAGGTTCGTAAATATAAGGGTATTAGAGGGAGGGGTCGGCTTCGTGACTGGGAGGTTGCTCAGGTCGAGCGTGAGGGTTGACTTGCGCGGGCGACCATTCTGCTGCTGCTGCTCAGAGGAAGTCGGTTGTGTTTGCTGCTGTTGATCTTGCCGTTGCTGCTCGAAGGCGCGCAGGGGCAGTTGCCTGTCTGTCTGCGCCATGGTGATGAATGTATCTGGTGATGATATTTGGGCTGTTGGGATGTAGAATCGAGGTTGCTATCGTCGCTGAAGAAGACAGCTCCGGTTTTGCTAAAAAATCGCAGAGTCTTTTAAGGTCGGTAGTTAAAAGGAAGGTCGTTTGAATGTTCGAGAAAAGATCCAGATTAAGAAGCTGTTGAAGAGTTGGCTGGGGAAATGCAGACGGTTGGTTGCGGACTGATGTGGAAGGTCGTTACTGGCCAGAGACGAGATGTGAGTGGGTGGCAGGGAAATTTATGGTTGACCATACAGTAGTTTACAATCTTACACATACAGCCGTAGGCGCATCTGCCGCATCTGAATCTCACACAAGACAAGCACTGCCTGCCGTGAAATGGTTACTTTTCATAGCCCAATCACACAGGTCCGTTAGAACAGTTAGCGAAACCCACTTAGAACTAGGCGCACAGGCATATTCTGCCACGACATAGCTCCAGAAGGGCAACTCAGCCTCTGATACGGGGCCCCAAAGTCCACTGAATGGCACCCATGACCCCCCCTTATGCTGTGGCATCGGTAATTTACGATGGTACGTTCCGCCAGCTTCAGCTGGGGCCTGGCAGCGGGCTACGCGAGTTGCCTGCGGCCAGCCAAGCCTCTCTCCAATTTTTCATCGCGAACTCCGTCCTGTCGAGTCAAAATCGCACAATATGTCGCACGTTTTGATCCAGCCTCTACTATCGCCACTGAAGTTGGATACCAATCATTCCAGACGATTCCAGTGAAGTAACCAAGCACAAAAGCGAGAAACAGCAGCTCTTGCCACGAGCTTGACCCCATGTTGAAACGGCTCTTTCCCCGTTGGGCCACCGGGAACCCATGATTGGCTGCAAAGCCACCATTCTGCGACGGCTTGCACAGCCTCACTTTCCACCACCTCAGCCTCGCCCCCTCTTGCCTCTCACCACTGGACGCTCGAACGGGTCAACCGCCCGGACTTTGAAACTGTCTCAGAGTTTGACTACCTTCTCTGTTAGGGGTGTCGCGCCTTGTTCCTTTAGCGCGCCATCGAAACCGATGGACGCTTAACAACGAGCAGAGCCTCGCGGCCTCTCTAGGGCCTACCGATACTTCGTTAGCAAGGCATTGTTTTCAACACTTCGATACGAACTACGGGGGCAACGAAACACTGCCAACTATCTTCAGCTTAGCAGGGCATTCGCACCTCCTCTCTCGGTGTAACTCGTGTAGATTTTCAGCATTGGAGTCATGTCTTCGAAGGCCAAGCAGCTCAGCCTGCTCACGCCACCGTGTCATATGCAACAGCAAAGGCCAAAGGAGCGTACCACCAACAAAAGCCAGGAAATGATAATGGGATGAAGTCACCAACGCCTGCTTTGTTGGGAACCGACGGCAGTGTCATTTACACTCCACTTTACACCTTAGGTAACGGAGGTAAGGAAGAAAAAGTTTCATCACAAGGAAATAATGAACTGGGTCTTAGCGCGCTGGATGCTCTGTATGGATTAGGCAGTCCTGCCCTGTATGGATATGTAAGTCGGCACAAGACATTCAGTGGTGCTACCCTAGTCTGTCGGCTAGATGGACGTACATCCTTCCGGCGCCTGGAGCTTGAAGTAGTAGCCCAAGGCAGACCTAACTAAGATAACCTCCATGCGCCAAGGAGGCGCAGCGTCGTTGGCTCTAACGAGGAGTATCGCATCCAGCTTTGATGCATGTGAGAAGAATGAACCCTATCTCATTCCCTTCATCTATGAGAATGGGGTTATGTTATCCGGTTTGCCTTATTCCTCAGTTGGACGCTACATCTCAAGTTCTAAGGTGAAAGCGTCCAACACTTGTAGCAGCTCCAGTGATCTCCAGAAGCGAGATATATGCAGCTCTAGAAGTAGAAGGTCAAGTATCACAAATTAAAAGGACAATTGTCATGTATAGTACACTCGGAGATAGTCCGACAACAGGCCTATCTCTTCTCCTGGAAGCTCAGACTTTCCAATTCCGCCCATTCCGACTACCTGATTTCAACCCCCAACTTAGCCACCAACCCCTTAACCACCCGATCATGCATCTCATTCGTCTCAGTATTTGTCAACGTCCGCTCCAAACTGCGATAGTTAATCCTATAGCACATGCTCTTCCTCCCCGTCTTAGGATGCACGAACTCATCTACTTTCTTCACATCCTCGACCACATCGCCCACTGCGTCACGCACGATCTCCATCAGATCATTCTCATGGAACTCATCCTTCGGCAGCCAGAACGATACGTCCTTATAACAAGCGGGGTGCTTGCTGAACGGTACGAAGGGCCTGATCTTGCTTAAGTCATCCTCGACGCCCCGGAATTGTGACAAGAACCGCTCGTCTTGCGACCAGAACAGCCGGATGTCGGGGATCTTGAACAGGAGCATGGCTACACGCTCGAGTCCGATGCCGAAGGCCCAGCCGGACTTGTGCGGGACCCCGGCATTGTTGAGGACGTGCTGCTGGCTCACGCCGCAGCCGAGAATCTCCAGCCAGTCGCCGTTGTAGTGTACCTCCAGCTCCCAGCTGGGTGATGTGAAGGGGAAGTAGGCCTCAACCCAGCGCACGCGTAGGGGTTCATCCTGTTGCGGAGAACCACCCGCAGCAGCGACATTAGCAGCCTTCGCTCGGGTAAAGATCTCATTAACCATCAACTCCAGCGAGCGCTTCAGATGCGCCGCAATAGCGGCTGCCTCCTCAGGAGTATGATGCCCCTCTTGGAGGGGATTCCTCTCGGGATGGAAGGGCGGGTTGGGGTCTTCAACCGTCATATTATGCTTCGGCAGGCGTTCCAGATCCTCATATACAGCCGCGACCAAGTCCCCATTGGGCACGAGCCGGCGGTCCCAGACACGGGCGCCCTCCATCTGGTGAAAGACGGGGTAGTGCGAGCGATCAACCTCATCACGGCGATAGACGTCGGCACTGATGAGGTAGCCACCGGTATCGTTTTCTCGGAAGAGTTGCGCCTCGTGTGCGCTGGTGTGTGTACGCAAGAGCGTGGACTGGTTGATGTAGTAGGTGTCGGTGCGGGCACGGCCCGGGTGGTCGGGGGGGAAGCCGAGGGAGTCGAAGTTCTCGTGGGTCGAAACAACCGGATCAAACTCGTTGTAGTATTTGTAGGTCGGGCCAGGAAAGACAGACTCGATGATCTTTCGGGTGATGGACACGGGGTGGTCCTTTTGGAGGTGCAGCTTGCGCGAGGTCAGGGAGAGTACGGTGGAGGAGACGTTGTACCACGAGTCCGTAGGGTATGACCTGCCGTTGATGGTGACAGTTTTCTGCGCGTTGGGCGTTGGCGACACGCGGGACTCAGCTACCGAGGAAGAGGCATCTTTGTCACAGACATTCGAATATCAGCGACGGGCTGGTTTGAATACATGTGTGCTATGCCGCATTGCTAACCTGGTGAGTAGTATCTGGAGTACGAAAATACCCTCAAGCGAAGGACTGGCGTGATTATGCGCAGCCTGCTGCTGCCCTGCCGCAATGGCCACGATATGTTCGAGCAGGCCCCAGCACCGGGCCGGAGGGCGGCCATGACAACCCGCGGTCCGACCATGCTGGTCTCAGAATGCGGCTCAAGATGGCCTGAGGGAGGTTTGGTGGGTACCAGAGATCTCACCTCAAAAACAGACGAATCGATCGCGGGACAAGGGAGGGTCGAAAACTTCAAGTGGGTCCCAGTGCCAAGAGGGCATCGGACGGACAGGGGCCTGCCGAAGGCTCGACATGATTGGTCAATTGCTTGAAGCTCAGCCCCAAAGGTTCTCGCAGCTCTGCTGGGGCTTTGGCGATCTTGAACTTTTCAACACCAATATCACTGATCACCAATCAGTGAAAAGAGGAAACAAGAGATTACTTTTTGTATTTTATCTACCATTTTTGAAGCTATTCTGTGCATTCCATCTGGTAAATTAAGGAAGTACACAATTCAGAGCATATCTTGGCAAGATCTCGATCCTCCCACCCCGCATCTACTCCTCGAGAGGCCTCTTCTGCGGCACCGTGATGGGCAAGGTTTTCTGGAGAACGACGCTGCCAAATGGTGAGCGATGATATTTCCGAGAAAATATAGACGGCCAAGAAATGCATCGATTTCAACAGCCACGGGATGCGCCAACGACAAGCTTACTTGCTCAGAGGCTGGCCATCCTTGATCTTCTGCAGACCGTACTTCTCCAGGCGAATGCCCTGGATGGCGATGAAGCCAGTGGTGTCCATCGGCTGGAAGGTCTCGAGCGAGTCCATGGAGGCATCCTCCTGAGAGTAGAGGATGCTGGTGTTGCTCTTGCGGCCCAGGACGTAGGCGTTGCCCTTGTAAACAGACATGCGGACCTCACCGGTCACGTTTTGTTGAGAGAAGATGATGGAGTTCTCCAGGAACTCGCGTTCAGGAGAAAAGTACATGCCGTTGTAGAGGCAGTGCGACCACTCAATGGTGACAAATTGGTCGCGGAGCTTACGAACGCGGGAGTCCATGACGAGACCCTCAAGGTCGATATGGGCCAGACGAGCGATGGTCAAGCCAGGAGTGTCGTAGCAGCCTGTACCTGTTAGCATACTTTTTGAACCAGATTAGACAACATTTTCTTACCTCTGCTCTTGAGACCGATGAAGCGGTTCTCGACGATATCGATACGGCCAACGCCGTTGTCGTGGCCGATCTTGTTGAGGGTTTTGAAGAGCTCCACTGAGTCGGTCACCTCACCCTCAGGAGTGACAAGCTTGACGGGGATGCCCTTCTCGAAGTGGATGGTGAAGTTGTACGGCTTGTCGGGAGCATCTTGGGGGTCAACAGTGCGGGTCCAGAGCTCCTTGGGAGGAGTGTAGTCAGGGTCCTCCTATACGGGGGTCAGAAGCAGGCCTCAGGGCGGAACTCTTGGGGTAAACATACAAGAACACCAGCCTCGTACGAGCAGTGAACGAGGTTGTCGTCCATTGACCACGGGGCCTTTGGGGTGGCTGAGACGGGGATGTTGTTCTCTGCAGCGAACTTCAGAAGGTCGGCACGACCCTGGAAGCGCTGAATGAACTCAGGCATACGCCAAGGGGCGATAACCTTGAGCTTGGGGTTGCAGGCCTTGAAGGCCAGCTCGAAGCGGACCTGGCTGGGAGGTTGTCAGCGGGAGCGATTGTAACATTTGTGACATCCTCAAGGTGGGATAACGTACTCATTCTGCAGAAACCGTCAGCATCATGTTAAAATCTATTGATCCCAGGGAGGAGACTTACACCCTTGCCAGTGCAGCCGTGGCTGACATATTCGCAGTTGTACTGCTGGGCAACGCGGACTTGAGCGCGGGCGATGATGGGGCGGGCCAGAGAGGTACCAAGCAGGTAGCGGTCCTCATAGATGGCATTGCACTGGATGGCACGGAAGACAATCTCCTCGACGAACTCTCGCTGGAGGTCCTCAATGACCATACGCTCAGCGCCGAGGGCGAGAGCCTTCTTCTCAACCTCAGCCCAGTCCTCCTGCTGGCCGACGTTGGCGAGGAAGCACACAACAGTGTAGCCCTAGTCAAGCTGTTAGAGTAAGGCTGTCCAATGGCTTAGTCAAGGGGGTAGCGGCAGTTACCTCGAGGATGAGCCATTTCAGGATGGTGGAGGTGTCGAGGCCTGGAATCTGGGTGTCAGTCTTGTTCAAATCGGGCAGGTCGAAAGCAATCGAGATCCAGATCCATGCCACCGGCAATGCTAATGCTCAATGGCCATGGTGCTTCATGGACGCTGGCATAGAGGACAATGGCATGGCGCGCGGCTGTGGGACATAGCACATGTCATACCTCCAGAGTAGGCGCTAGAGAGGAGCGTGGTGGTCAGCGTCGAGTCCCGTCGCACTAAGGTCACGTCTCAAAGCAGACGGTGCGGGGCACTTACAGACAAACGCGACCCTTGGACATGGTGATTGATGTGAAGGTTGAGAAGAATATGGTCAAGATCTAGAAAATCTAGAAGCTCTCGAAAAACAAGTGGGGAATGGAGAGAAGAAGCAGGAGAGGAGGAGTGTTGAGAAGAAAAGCTCCCGGCTTTTCCCACTAACCAACCGTTTGACTCAGGATGACTCGATCCATCCCTGGTCAATGCCTGGGTGGTCACAAAACTTTTTGATTCAGTGTCCCGCCCGATATCGCCCCGATACGTTCTTATCGCAGCTTATCGTCATGATAACGGCCCTACGGCCCCGCGATAGCCGGGACTGTGACGTATCATAGCGGGCCACCCTTTCGTTCCCCAGCCGAGGTGCACGGACCATATGGGTTATTGGAGATGCTTGGCATGCCGAAACAATGGCCGATCGGCCCCAAAAATTGAAGTCTAAAGCGACGCTTATCGCGAATCTTCTTCCGTCCCTTTTAAACATCGCCCAGCGCAGGTTACGTATCTAGAGTCGCACATTGGGTTCGCCTGTGACGACAAGATACGCAAGTCATATCCTTGTGCTGCTGTGCGACGTTTCACACATCGGGGCATAGCGGAATGCGACTATAACGAACTCGTCGCTCGTTTTTTTCTCCATTTTTTCTTCAGCTCTAGCCCGGGGACCTCTGCGACATACAAGTCAAGGAGATGCAGGCAGCAGAAAACAACACCACGGCCTCGCCACGGCCCGCTGGCGCTACTGCTGTTCTGAAAAGCGAGGATAAGTCCTCATCTCAGAGCATGCGGAAGCCAATCCATTATCCTTTTTGGTTTGGCGGCAGCGCCAGCAGCATGGCAGCGTGTGTGACCCATCCCCTGGATCTCGGTAAGTGATCGAATTGGCAATTGCAACTTCATATCTAGACACTCAGCTAATCAATGTTTCAGTCAAGGTACAGTAAACTGCAAATTCGGCCTCCTCTCACTCTTCTAACATCGCTTCCACAGGTCCGCTTGCAAACCCGTACCAGTAGCATGCCCTCTTCGATGGTGGGGACCTTCGTCCACGTCGTCAAGAACGAAGGCCTGCGTGGCCTCTACAGCGGTATCTCGGCCTCCTTGCTGCGCCAGATCACCTACAGTACGACTCGCTTCGGCATCTACGAGGAGCTCAAATCGCGCTTTTCTTCGACCCACCATACCGGTCCCGACGGCAAGCCGAAGCCCCCTTCCTTCCCTCTCCTGATTGGCATGGCTACAGTCTCCGGCGTCATTGGCGGCATTGCCGGCAACCCAGCAGACGTGCTCAACGTGCGTATGCAGCACGACGCTGCTCTCCCCCCCGCTCGGCGACGCAACTACGCCCATGCCATTGACGGCCTGGTGCGCATGGTGCGTGAAGAGGGCCCTGCCAGCCTGATGCGCGGCGTTGGCCCCAACAGTGTACGTGCAGCGGCCATGACAGCCAGCCAGCTGGCCAGCTACGATATGTTTAAGCGGACGATGCTAGCGCTCACGCCGCTGCATGACGGCTTGGTGGTGCACTTCACGTCTAGCTTCATGGCTGGCGTGGTTGCTGCCACCGTGACCAGCCCGATCGACGTGATCAAGACACGGGTCATGTCAGCGCACGGGAACCACGGTGTTCTGCATGTTGTGAGGGAAGTGTCGGCCAAGGAGGGGTTGGGTTGGATGTTTAGAGGATGGGTGCCGAGCTTTTTGAGGCTGGGGCCGTAGGTTTCCCCTCTTTTCCCCACTTGGCCAGTCGGTGATGGTTGGTATACTAACGTTGGTAACAGTCAAACCATCTGCACCTTCATTTTCTTGGAATCTCACCGGAAAGTGTACAGGAAACTTAAGGGCATAGAAGAGGAGGAGTAATGCGTCATAGACGGCATGGCCCGCATTCACGACGAACAACTCGAGACTCGGCGTAATTCCATCCACACAACATAGCACCCCGAACACCCACATTACCTCATTTCTCGCCCTTTCGGTAACAATTTCATATGAAAGATGAGGCCAGTGGATAGACGGCAGGATTGGATGACGTACCATGATACAGGAAAGAGGGGGCAGCGGTCAGGGAGGAGACAAAAAGACTTAGACGGATGGGAAGTCTTATTAATCAGGAACCACGATGCATACAGCTGGCAGGGTAGCGGGATCAGGGGCGTTTGATTCATCATTTTGCATTTTGTTTCCTTTTTATTTTTTTTACCCTCTTTCTCTTTCATGTCTCGAGCATAAGAGATGGGAACGGCCGGCATCAGGATTGATTTATCTTGGTAACACAATGTTTTTTTTTTCCTGTTCTGTTGACAAATAAGCACAGGTCTATTTGAGGTTGTAGTGTAGACTTGAGTGTTTCGGTTGAGGATGTGTGTTCTTGGATCTTTAGACTCTGATTGAGGGTCTCGGTGATAGAGAGGTTGTAAAATCCTTGTTGTTCCTCCCGTTCTCTCATGTTCCGTTTAATACCAAAGAGGGAAGTGTCGGTCTTTATTCTGTTTCAAACTCCTGTCGAGTTCTTGCATCAAACATGCTGCTTCGAGAGACATGTGGAAGGAGGTTGAATATTGAGAGTTAAGTTCAAGCATTAGCACCCGTCAGAGTATCAATTAGACAGCCCTTTTCTATCATTTTAGTTTTCGTTCTCCCCCTAATAGATTTATAGCCGATACCTCTCCTGGTCCCGAAACGAACTCCCGCTGGTATCTCAGGTAGTTAAGGTGGTAGGAGCAACCAAACTCCACAGTGCTCAACCAGCCTGCCAAGCTGATGCCTCTCCAACATGGCGTGCGCTCTGGAAGCAGGCTGCTATAGATCAGATTAAGCTGGCATCGCCTAATATAGTGGTATATGGCGAACAGGCACAATTTTGGTCCGCATCTCGGCATCAGGCGGCAACTGCACGCTCGAGAGACTGCCCTAACCAGGACCAAGCCCACGCCATCTCAAACAAACACCCCGTATCCTGCTCCCATTCAAGGCCAACCGCCCGCCCCAACACCATATGGCGTCTGCCCATACGGTGTCGTCCCGCCAGCCGCACCGCCCCACGAGCTCTGGTTCCCGCCGTTGCCAAACGGCGTAGTATACCCACCACCAAACCCATCCGTACCACCGCCCGCGCCGAATCCGCCGCCGGGGCTACGAGGACCGCGGTAGTCGCCGTTCGCGCCGCCGCTGTCGCCCTCGGTCAGCTCGTGGATCAGGCCGGCCAGCTTCTGCTGCAGCACCTTGATGCCCTCCTGCACGATCGCGTCCGGCGGCAGCGGGCCGGCCGACTCGACGTTGAAGTAGAACCGGTTCGGGACCGCGTCGTAGTCGAAGGGCTCGCCTTCCTGGGGAGGCTCTTCCCACTCGGCGTACTCACTTGGGGGCCTTGGTTGGGGTGAGTTGATTGGTTCTTTAAAAGGGGGTTATTTGGCTCGTGGACAAGAGGGGAAGGTGCTCACCATTCCGCCTTGGGATCCTGCTCATACCACAGGTCCAGGTGATGCAGCTTGTTGTGCGGGTCATACTCGAAGCCGATGGCCGCCGAGGGCGCCCACTTTGCGTGCTCTTTGGCGATTCCCTTCTTGGCTATGCACTCGAGCTTGATCTCCTGGCCAGGGCGCAACTTCAGGATGAGCGGGCCGAGGCCATCGGGGTCGTTGATGATGGGGGTGCCGAGGTTCTGGTTCACGCGCTCGCCGACTGGAACAAGATCGCGGGAGAAGACGTGCATGTTCTCATCGCCCGTGCACTTAGCATGGAGCGACAGCCGTACACTACACTGTTCGCAGTAGCCGTCGCAATCGCAGTCGCGCGAATATAGGAGTTGGTCGACGCCTTCAGCGTTGAGCGGGATCAAGCCCAGGCGGTGGGCGATAAATTCGTCGGCAAGGACGGAAGTGTTGACTTCAATTTCGACTAGGTCAATAGCAATCGTGGGGATCTCAGCTAGCATAACGCGGCGGAGAGAGTTGGCGAAGGAGAGGTCAGCATTGGAGAGCTCGAACTTGACGCGCGTCGAGTCTGCCTACAAGCACAAATGTGTTAGAGCCGACCGGATCGTAAACTTTCGTCTTGAGGTAAACGAGCTGCAAGAGGCAAGTATAGCGGCGGTCGCGACACAGGTGACGTACTTGGGAAATTTTGACGGCCGGTCCTAATGACTCGGCGTCATCCATCACCATAGGATCGTAGTCCATCATCTCAGCGGTGTCCCTTCGCGCGGTCAAGCAGAGGAGAAATTAAGGGTCAAAACGAAGGGCCTAATGGTGAATGGTTGGGTTTGCGGCGAAGGGGCGGTCGCTGGAGGTGTTTTCGTAGGAGCTTGATGGATGGCGCGAAACACGACACATGCGCCGAGATGCGCTCAACAATTGTCAAAAGCGGACAGCAGCCTGTGATAAGCGCTTATCTTCACGTGGCTAAAGTACGGGCTCATACGTACCGCGGGGCGTGGATGCAGCAAATCCCAGCCACCCCGCAAATCCGCTTTCCTTGATCTGGCTTAGCTCCTGTCGCTGCTTGGGCCCCACCTTGACAAGCTTAGGACAAAAACCTGCACGGTCAGCTGAGGGGCCGACCAACTTGGCTGCTCAACGACGCGGGCGGCCCGTCAAATGTTCCGCCTGCAACGTTCGGTCGAATGGCCGAGCGCCGCCCTCGCGAAAAAAAAAGCCCCCATAAATTTTCCCTGGAACGGCGCTCCGAAGTTGAGGTCATCGGCTCCCATTTCAACCCTCCCACGCACCCCGCAACCATGCTACAACGGACCATCTCGACTGCCTCGCGCGCCCTGCGCTCCACTGCCCATCTGGGCACCGCCGGCATCCAGCGCCAGTTCCAGGGCGCCGCCGCCCGCACTCAGCTCTTCCAGATCCCGGTGACCGCCTCCCGGCCACTTGCTGCCCGGACAGCGAGGTGGTACAGCTCTGAAGCCGAGGCCAAGAACGGCGAGGAGGCCAAGAAGGAGGAGAAGAAGGAGGAGAGCAAGGAGGGCAGCGAGGAGGTTAAGAAGGAGGGTGAGGAGAAGACCGAGAGCCCTGAGGAGGCCCTTAAGAAACAACTAGAGGCCAAGGAGGCCGAGGTCCGGGAGTTCAAGGTATGCGATTATTATATTCTTGCTTTTCCGACCAGCTGCTAACCTCGATTAGGACCGCTGGATGCGCGCGGTTGCAGAGTTCCAGAATCTGCAAACCAGGACACAGGCCGAGGTCAAGGCCGCCAAGGAGTTCGCCATTCAGCGCTTCGCTAAGGACTTGTTGGACACGGTCGACAATTTTGAGCGTGCTCTGGGTGCCGTTCCCCAGGAGAAGCTGCAGGCGACCGGCGATGACCAGAACAGCAACAAGGACCTCATCAGCCTGTATGAGGGCATCAAGATGATCGAGACGGTCATGCTCTCGACCTTCAAGAAGCACGGCATCGAGCGTTTCGATCCCGTCGGCGAGGTCTTCAACCCCCAGGAGCACGAGGCCACCTTCATGGCTGCCATGCCTGACAAGGAACACAACACCGTGTTCCACGTTCAGTCGAAGGGATTTAAGCTCAACGGCCGCGTTCTGCGCGCCGCCAAGGTCGGCGTTGTCAAGAACAAATAAGCTTTTTAATCGAGGGCATTCAGCAACTCAACTCTAACCACTCTACGGGACATCCCCGTTGTACTATTACCATGTGTCACTCCTGTCTATGACTCGGATTTGTATGCAAGACCTCAGAAGGAAAAGCACAGGACCAGGGCGGCCGGGCGTTTCGTGTCGTGTTTTCTTCTCATGTATAATGCTCCTCTCATGACATGTCTCTCATACCATCTCCAGCACTTCAAATACGGCTCAAGAAAAGAAAAACGGGATAGATGATTATGGCTGCTCTGGACAGCTGAGGGCGGTATATAGGGCGCGCGCACAATAATGCATATATCTTGTTTGGGTGGTGGTTGTGATGACCTCTCCTCTCTGATCTCATACTGCGACACATGGCATCCGAAGGTCTCGAGTAATCCCTTTTGCTTAACCCTTGGGTGCTAACGCACTCTTAGTTCACATCTATTAAGTCAACTCGTCAAGCTGCTGGCCAGCTATATCTCATGTCCACATTCATCCTCCCGACAACATCACACCTTTTTGTCCAGAAATACTCACTCTGACAAGATAGCACGGCACCTGACTCACTAAGTACGTTTACCATCGGAACAAGAACATGGCATCATTTCACCCCGGAAACTGATGCCTGGTTCGCTTCGATGATGATGTTCCGATCAGGCACTAGAGGTTACAGTTCAATCCCTGGTAGTCTGGTTCAGCCGCTCGGTACGGCTTACACGTTCCGTGTTTTCCATGACGTGCCAAGGTAATAGCCAGCAGACATGCAGATGAACCATGCAGGTGATGAACCATCGACGAGGCTAGGATGCGGAGATGAGGTGAGGTTACAACAATAATACATAACCATGCGTAGAGATAATATCACTTCTTTCCTCTTCATTACTGACCTACCTGTACTTACTTTCACTCTGTTTCCCTGGTATATTCTCAGCCTGAGTCATCATCACACCCAGCATGAAAGTCAACATCCTCGTCCTCCTTACCGCCGCCCTCCCAACTCTAGCAGCCAACAAAACCACCATATTTACTCTCCCAGGCCCCATCAAACCCGCCTCATGGTTTGAGAACCTCACGGTTCGTCCCAACGGCAAGATCCTTGCTACGCGCGGCGACGCCCCTGAGATCTGGCAGATCGACCCGGCCAATTCGGGCTCAGGCTCCCTACTTGTTACCGTACCGGAGGCATACAATTTGACAGGGATCGCGCAGGTTAAGCCGAGGAGACGCGGTAATGGAGGCCACAGTAACCAGCAGCACGAGGAGGAGGTTTATGTATTTGGCAGCTCTCACATCCCCGCGCCGTTTCAGGTCGCGCCTGGGAGCGCGAAGGTCTGGTTATTAAATATTTCCGCGTCTGGGACGCCGACTGTGTCACTGCTTGCGGCGATGCCGCAGGCGGGGTTTATTAATGGCATTGCTGCTTGGGATGCGGGGAGGGTTCTGCTGAGCGACACGGAAGCCGAGGCGGTCTACCTCATGAACGTCGACACCGGCTCCTATTCGACTGCGATCACGGGCTTGGCAGGTATAAACGGTATTCAGACGCGAAAGGGTTCGTTTGGCGAAGGGCATGCTGGACATCGGTATATCTACAGGGCAGATCACCTCCAAGGCCGGCTCACCCGCATTCCTGTTACTTCCAACGCTGTTGCTCTCGGACCAGAGGAGGTTCTTGCTTCAGGGACGAGCATCGATGACTTTGCGATTAAGGTTAACGGCAACGGTAAGGGAAAGGCGTATATTGCAGCGATGTATGACAATAAGATACTGGAGGTTGATGTCCCATCCGTTGTTGGACCAACTGGAGAGGCTATGACGCCGACAGTATTGGCTGATGATTTGTCTGGGACTGGGACGGGGCTGGTGACGGTGGTTGCGTTTGGGAGGAGGGCCGTTGATGGGATGTGCTGTATGCGGCGGTTGGGCAGGGAGGGGTGAGTGCGTCGGTTGTTGCTATTGAGTTGTGATGGAGAACTGGCTAGGGCATTTTTTTGACAGTGAACCAGCAATCTAGTCGATTGGCATTACGTTTGAACTGATCAATTGCCACTGGAGGAGCATCCAAATCAGAGTTATCCTCTTGCAAAGACATGACGGCAGGTCAACTTCTTAATTAGACATTGTTGGGAACCAGTTACAGGCCCCGCAAATACATCAAAGCCGTGCTCAATCTTGTCAGGCATACCTGCACCAGGTACTTACCTATTTACCTGTTGAACTGGTACTTCACTTGTTACTTTGTTCTTCGCTCCGAACGGAGGGTTTGCATCTTACACTCAAGTCATCTGAATTACCCTCTCTGGGAAGACTGAACGAAACGTGGGTGACAAGTTTTGATCCGCCAACTCAGTCGAAAGACTCACCTAAGGCTTAATAACCGTGGTACTAGCCCATTTAAAGATTCACTGTCAGAGCCAACTCTAGGATGAAGCCTTCCAAAATACCCATGCTCTTTAAACAATGGACTCTGCCTAGAAGAGAGCACGCAAAGCACAGTGCTCGTTCAGCTGAGACAATGGTTAGTCCTTAAACCATTCAACATGAGTTTACCGACCCCGGCTCAGTGACTCCACGAGAGTTTAGTGAATTTTGCTGAATCCGCAAAACATGTCTTAATTGCCTGCAGATTAAGCCCTCGAAATTAGAGCATATCCTTGCAATACAGGCTAATCAGATCTAAGGACTGTGATCTCTGGCTAGGAAAACATCCTAAATTCTGCCTCTCAGCCAGCGTGCAGCGGTCTCCTGTTCCTAGTTCAAGGTCATCTGCTAGAACTGTTCAGTGTTTTCATCGCTGTCTAGACACAAGATGATGTCGTTCGAAAACTTTCCGCTCGGCAGCTCTGGCCCTACATGAGAAAGTTCAAGCACTATGTTCAGGGGATCCAACAGCCCCCATACTCCTGAGCAATAATCCATGCGTCCCAGCTTCCAGACTCTAAAGTGCTCTGCTTGGATCACTCATAACCCTCACTGCTCATGTAGCCAGCCTTCAGATGAAGTCGTCTGAACTGTCCTTGCTTTGAAGACAACCCTTATCTCAGGGCGTTAGTTTCGGCTTAATGGAACAAGCTGAAAGCGCTTTGTTGTGAATACTTTCTGCCAGAATCCCTTCCCAGTAGCCCGCTTGCCGATAGCATCTCGTGCTTTTTCCTCCACCCGACATATCACTCCTCAATGTTAGGTAGACGTGAGCAGAAACTCAACCTCGTGACCCGCGAGTCTCAGCCGGTGATGATGCCCGACAGCCGTCTAGGACTCGCGGTATGCGAGGGATAAGGGCAAAAAGCCCTTCCCCTCGCTCTATCCTTCACCCACGCGGGTCTCGATTTGGCTTTCCCCCTTTCAGAATCCTTAAGACCAACCATCTGCGAACTTTTTCTCCAACTTTCTTTAACCTGTACACAGTCCACTTTGGCCTATTCTCACAGCGTAGCATCAACCTCTGTGACTAGAGGATAACAAAGTGTTGTTAAGAGAGATTCAACTTACTTGCTTCATGTTTGTTTGACTCCCTCTTTCTCAAGGCTGCTCTGTTCTCGCTGCCAAGATGGACTTGAACGATCAGAAAGTCGAGGGAGAGGAGACCCGGTATTCCCTCTTCGACCCAAATCGCCTCTCCAGCACCACCGACATCCGCTTCTCAATTGAGATATTCGAGATATGTGAGACCAAGGCCGTGACGCTCTCCCCAGCAAAAGCTCGTCTTATCGACCTCTGCAAAGCTGAATTCAGGGACCCTAGCGAGAAGAGAACATTGGTCGGCCATGGCAAGTACATCCAGATCGACCATGTTGAAGACTCAGGCCAGCCCAATGTTGACCGATACATTGATGACCGTTGGGAAAAGGAGAAGAAGCCAGTGACTGTGGGAAAGCTGAAGAGCTCGGACAAGCACAGCACCCGCAAGCCATCACTGGGTAAGTTCGGCTGACCTATAACCGGCTTATCATGGCCTTGACGTCGATTAACTCATCGCCAGTCAAGCTGCCGTCGCTTGTGTGGAACCCCAAAACTACAAGCAAGTCAAAGTTCGCTCAGGAGAAGTCGGAGGACCCCAAGACCAAGCCCAAACCCAAATCGACTGGCGCGACCATCCCCTTCCACGAGCCCACGGCGGTGGGCAGAGCCGGTCTCACGCCATACCAGGGTCAGGACGAGCTTATGTCCCTGGAGCAAAGCAGGCCAACCAGGTCGGTACCACGCGTCCTCTTCAAAATGAGAGAAGACGCGTGGTCTATGTTCGCCAACCCGTCGTGCGACTGCACGTGCTACTGCGGCAATAAGCCACGGCCTCGTCTCATCTTTCGTCCCGACTCAAGGGACTTGCACCGGCAGCGGCTCCAGGCCTCTGCCTCAACGCCCGCAGGTATGTGAACCTACTGCGAGTGCCCATCGCTGGTGCTGCCTTTCTGCCCTCGCACTACCCCGCTTGCTGCCCTGGCCGAAGACAAGCCGACATTCACTGCCAGCTGCTGCCCTCTATTGTTTCTCCCCTATCGCCCCCTGCCCCCTCTCTGCCCGCTGTTGATTATCTGCACACTCAGCACACAGCTGGAGAGTGTTACTATTCACCCACTCCCCCTCTGCAGCCCTCTTCCTAAATAAGGGAGATTGCCCGTCGGCTCACCAGCTTGGCTGGGTCCTTCATCCTGTGATATGCGCCCAGGGGGAGCATTCTTCCAACGATGTGCCAGCGATAGCGGCTTTTCTCCCATGTTTACATGGCTTATCCTTCCCTGTCTTCTCTCCTTGCTCCTCGTTGCCCTCCCAACCGAAGCACCGGCCACCACTCCTTCCCTTATCCAATCTTCTCCCGTCCACTGACAAAAAAAAGTAGTCGGTAGATCGAGTATTCGTCCTGAGGCAGAAATGCTGCGCAGCCTCGGGCGTTTGGGTAAGTCCTTTGAAAACCCTAATCAGTCTAAAATTGGAAGGGCAGGGGGGGAGGGGGAAGAAATGTTTCCCATCCCATCCCAATTTTCCTCCTTCCTTCTTCCTTTTTTTCCCCCTTCTTCCCACAACCACAGCAACGGTCACCCATAGCGCAACCCAACGGAGCCTTTCGCTGACTTCCACAGAAAACAACTTCGACGACTCGTACACATTTGCTCGCACCTCCAACTGGGTCTGTAACTTGCCTAAGGACGTCGAGCCAGTATCAGAGAACGGGCCACTGCTAGGGAGCGCGAGCCTGCCTGTTGTAAACAAATCCCTTCCTAATCGACCTCGTTACCCTCCCTCGCTTTGTCACGTCCTAACACTTCTCCATCATTAGACTCCGGTTCGCAGCAGGTCACTTGCTGATCTAACTAACCTGTCTACCGTCGCCACAATGCCTGGCAACCATCATCAACATGGAGATCGCCGCGGTCGCTCTCGTGAATGCGATCACGAGTGCGATCATTACGACGGCGTCAGCGACTCGATGCTCCGCGGCAACTTCATTCCACTCTCTAATCTCGCTCGTTCGCCTTCTCCAAAGCGAGACAACGGGGTCCAGCCGTCCCGTGAAGTGCCGGCTCAAAATGTTTTCGTTCAGTTCAATCTGACCGACGACCAGGTGAACCAAATTGCTACTGCGTAAGTCATCTTTCACTCACACATCACTCACTCCTGCCACTCGTCATTCTCTTCCTGTTCCTAATCGACATCAATATCTGACCAATATAGTTTGTCCAATAGGGAGGACAGCAACGATGAATCTCACCCTCGCGGCCGGGCTGCTCAGCCCACTACTGATGCCGCTCGTGCGACCGACAACAAGGAGGTCGCTTCCAAGTCCTCTCGAGCCAAGTCTCCCAGCAAGGCTCAGGTGCGCAATGGTTCTCCTTCTCGTTCGCGTGCTCGTTCCCGCTCGCCGCTGAAGTTCTTCAACTTTGGCAACAAGACTCCCGAGAAAGGTCATGCTAAGATCAAGACCGAAGATGTTGGCATCGGCCCCTCATCCTCGATCAAGCATCAGAAGGAAGCCCGCTTCGCTGAGACTGACCCAATTCCCAACCCCAAAGGCAAGCAGACACGTCACGTTCCTCCCCCGATCGACACAGGGCTTGCCCAGGCTTGGGAGCTCGAGGATCCTGGTAAGCAGCCTGTCACTATTGTCCACAATCCTCCTGAATGCCCCAACGAGCACAAGCGTCGCTCGACCAAGATGCGCAATGCACCTGAGCCAGCGCTCTATCGCATGCCGGATGACACCTCGTCTTTTTACTCGACCAACACAGTTGGCGAGCGTTACCCCTCTGCAATTTTGCCGCTTCGCATTAAGAAGGAGCCGGTCACTCCCGAGGAGCAGATTCTGCTCGATCAGCTGCAGAGCCAGGTTGAGTTTGGCGATATCCCCATTCGAGCCAGCATCCGGGCCAGTAGCCCTCCGTCTCAGTATCAATACGGCCAGTTCCCGCAGGAGCATTCGCATGCTGGTGCTCACTTCCAGGGTGTCAAGGTACACCCTGTCCAGCATCAGATTGTCGAGAACAACAATGCCTACATCCACCAGAGCATTCGTCCGACTATTCAGCCTGCTCTTCTTGGTCAGAATGAGCGTCTGAACGAGAACATCTCGACGATGCCTAGTTACGTCGACAATCGCACTTCCATGCAAACTTCGAAACACAGCTTCAACAACTTGCATTGGTCGCTCATGTCTGTTCCCTTGAATGATGCTTACTCTCCGCTTGCCCAACTTCTTGGGCCGGAATACATGATGACAGGTCGTGTCGCATCCAAGGTTCTCATCGGCGAGCATGGCTGGCTGGAAGATACTTCACGCCAGGTAGAACACGTTCCCGACGCCAACCGCAACTCGAGCACCGGTTTCCTAGGCAGTCTGGTGAAGCTTGCTAAGGATTTCGTAAGTCTCCTCTCAACTTTCACACCATCTCTATCAAAACTCAAACTAACTTTCTCCCCCCTCCCCGCCTCCCCCACACCCAGCGTCGCTCCCGCGACTCCGACTCCAAGCAGAACTCCCGCGCCATGCCCATCAGCATGGCCCCCCGCGAGCAAGCCATCTTCTACAGCGAGCTAGAATGGACCATGTCCCATACAGTCCACAACTTCATTACCGCACAATTCAACGCCGGACGTTTGGATACTGAGAAACTCCGTAAAGTCGCAGAGGACTGGCAGCGGCGCGGTCATTCTCGCGCAACCGGCTTCCGCTTCGATCTTGAGACCCAGCTCGAGCTGTGCCGTCTGCACGTCGGCGACTTTCAGTTCTACAACACTAAGCATAACACCAGCCAGGCGTCGCTGCTCTCGGTGATCGAGGCCAACCGCTCGAATGCGCGCGCCTTCAAGATTCGCACTTATGTCACCCCCGACACAGTCATCGCGAAGTGGCTACTCGACTGCCAGAGCTTGCTCAACATCATCACCGTCGCCGATGAGCCGTTCATTGAGCTGGGCCGTCTGGTCCGGTTCTTCCGTCGCTCTGTCGAGGCCGCTACTACTATGGCTAAGGCAAAGGATGAGCAGAGCTCTAAGATCGGCTCGGACATAGTTGGCAGCGCGACTGCTACTGCCGGCTCCTCGACTGCGGCCACAAGCACTGCTGCTGGTAGTGGTAATGGTGCTCCGCCTGCCGCTACGGTCACTGGCGCCTCGGCGGCCAGTCATCAGGCTGTTTTGGGTTCGCCTATTCAGCTGCGCCCGAGTCACACTGTTGGTGGACCTGTTAGCGGCAATCATGGTCATGGTTATGGCCATGGTCAGCAGCGCCAGAACGATGGCTGGTGGAATGGCCGTGGTAGTATTCTCGATCCTGCTGAGTATGCGGAGCATGAATGATCCTCTTCCTGGTCTTTGAGGGTCCTGAAACTTTGTCAGATTTTGTACACTTTGACGACTTTTGCGACTTCGTTTTTCGTTGGACTTGCTCATATTTTTGTGCCGCTTATTGACCTGCTTGACTCGACTCGTGGCTCGGTTCGGCTTACGAACAAATGCTTGTCCGTCGGTTCCTAGTACGACCGTTGTGTCGAATCCCTCCAGCGAAGCGCCATCATTATCTTCGGTTCGTTTCGCCCCCGTCAAAAGAGCTGCTTTAAAGAGGGAATACCAAAAAAAAAACTGAATGGTGTAAGCCCCGAGAAAAGGATAACAAACTCGCTGTTGAGGCATCTCTTGACTTTCAGAGTAATGAAGGTCATCTCTCAGGCTTTCGAAGCCTGCTGTTGGAGTACGTCGTCATACCTGCACTACGTTTTACCCTCACCTCATGACCAGACCGGACAACACGACCTCTCTTTCTCGTTTCCTTTTGTCTTTATAAATTATGGTATGCATGTCACGGCATTCTGGAAATTTGGCGGGTTACCTCATGGGACGGGTACGGAATGGGTTTGGTCAGCCACGATGATGATGCCCCATTTACTGGTGTTGATGTTGTAATACCCCTTTGCGCGCTTCTTTTGGCGTTCAGGGATAACAGGTACTCTTGGGGTATCTACTATACACTGGTTTTGGCGCTGGGATGATGGGATAGGATCGGATAGGGTATGGCGTATTGTATGGTGACTGTACATTGGCTCGTGTTTTCTACGTATTTGGAATGATTGATGATTGCCTACGTGCTTAGGTGACTCTTACAGAAGCTTGTTCTGCCGGTTAAGCTAGTTAGCCTGTGATGGCTTGTAGGCTTTATCGGACAGTGACATTTGGTGACTAAACTGAGCCTGTTGACTTAGGCTGATCAGGTTGATGATGTTTGAAGGCCTACCTACTTACTGCGTACACGGTCCATGTTGATGAACCGTGACTCCATAATTCATCAACCCAAGCCACCATTTTTCGGCAATTGATTTAATTCTGATATGACTGAACTCAACCTCATATATAGGCTCTCTCCCCCCCTTCCCCCCACCCAAAAAATTAATCATACTTCACATCTTTGGGAAACTTGCGTTCCACATCCTCCCAGAGATCCACACACCTCGTCCCTTGATCGATCATCCTGGTCCCGTATCTAATCCCATGAGCCCCCAATTTCCCTTGTATAATCTCTGCCAGCTCCTCCACAGCCGCCATGCTCCCTCCCTCAACCGTGTCCATCGCAGTCCGCATGAGCCGAGCCACAGTCAAGTAGCTGTCATGCTCGCGAATTGGCACCTTGCGCGTAAGGAAAGCTACCACCGTAACCATCAGCAGTTGCCCGCCCATCAATGCAACCAGAATCCACACTGCCCGCGTCCACTTCACCTCGAGGCTCGTCAGAACAAAGGGCTCCGCAGATTCCCCAGGGTCACGCAGAATTCGCGGCAGCCGCATCTCGGCGCCGATGATGGGCAGAATGGGCAGGCGGGCCGTCAGGTGAGCAACATCCAGCACCCAGCTCGTAGGGATGGGGACTTGGGTCCAGTCTTTTTCGAAATCGTTCTTGAAGAGTTTGTTGATATGATCAATGAAGCGTGTCTTTTCCGTGATTGCGGAGGGGTCATAATGAGTGTTTGTGAAGGCTGCCATTGGGTTGTCCGTTGAGCCATTGTAAACAAAGCTCGATGACTGGGTGCCGAGGCCAAGCAGGAGGTTGATTGTCTCAGAGAAGTTTGATGAGGGGAAGTTGAAGAACACGTTAGGACTCACTCCAGGACTGCCTAAGCCATCGGTTAGGCAGGTGGTGCATTCGTAGATGGCCGGAACCATTATGTCCTGGATGACAGCCTCGAAACTAAACAGAGCATTAGTGTAGATGTCTGTATTGTAGTATAAGTAGAAGGTTAGTGAATCTGCAGCACCTGTTCCCACTCAGACTTGTTACGATGGGTGGAGCATCATTGGTTTACAAGGCATAAAGACTCTTACAGCTTGTCACGCAAGCGGACGGGTTATCTCGCCTGCTATAATCCGCGTCCATAACCCATAGATAGTCGCTGGCTATAGAGGGTATCATAGTCAGGGCGTGCAATACTTGTAGGAAACCGGGACTGCCTGGTGGCACCAATTTATCTATGTCTAGAGATCCATCAGTAATCAGCCCTATGTAATACATCGGGGGAGTATCGAGCAAGTCTTCAGGCGTACCTGGTATTCTGGCAACCAAGGTCCCATTTTCATAAACGTCTTTATCAAAAATGGTACGAGCTCTGCAGGTCGACGAGCTGTGTACAATCCTGTCTGGTGATGGATACTCCTCCTGACCACGATACTCGTGGAGGTGGTATGTATAGGTGACAGTCTGGGTTCTCTCGTTGACAGTGCGGTGCAGACCTTGCCTGCTGATATCCCTCATATTCCATGTTGATGGGTTACTCTCGTCGAAGAGAGTTGGCACGGTAGTCAATGCTGCTATCGCGAAGGCATTCACCTGATCTACGCCCATGTCCTTAGCCCGTGGACTCGACTTCCTTCCTGAGAGTCCGTACCCAGAGTTCTCTGGTAAGGATTGTTGAGGGTAGGAATATACTTACTCATGTTATGAATCGACGCATTTTCCCCCCACCTGTATCCATTCTTGGCTACCGAAATTGGTGACCATAATTGGCTCGGCTATGTTTTCCTTTAAGTTATATGATAACCCAAACACTGCAACACTCAGTCGACCGACGATGTTGACGACTAGATATGCAAATACCCCCAGCATGGTAGCCGACCACTTCCTAAACTTAGGCTTCCAGCCATGGAAGGTTACCGAGCAATGAGCCAGCAACTTGAGTGCAACCGTGGGGTTACCGATGCCAAAAAGGAGGTCTACCTCCCTCGGGGTGTGCGGCCGGGCAGCGAGTAGCGGCCAGCGCAGTGCAGAACCTAGGAGCCCTAACAGTGATCCAAGAGATAAGCTGATCAGCGAGGAGAAGAAGATGGTCAAAGCGGTGAAGATGCGGCGCTCCCATGAGTCCATGCTGAGTTTCTTTGAATAGAAGTACAGGATCAGCATGAGGGAGACTCCAAAGAGGAGAGAGCAGAGCAGGCGCCAGACGACGCTCCACCAGGGGAATCCGCTTCTGTATTTTCCAGGAGTCCCAAATCCTGCCGCTGTCTGATCCAGATCTTCTTTGGTCGATTGGGTAGAATAAGCGTAGTGATCGGAAGGTGGCCATTGTAGGTTGCGTAGATATTCAGGGTCGAGTTGGACGACCGGTACGATGATATAACCCTCGGGAGCGGCCATCATGCACAGCAGAAGTCCAAGGAGGAGATTTTTGAGATCACGACCTGGAGGGGAAAAGATGCCGAGAAGAACTCGCCTGTGAGACTTGGTCTTGAGGCTCGGGCTTCAAAGACTATGTTCTCTAGGGTAGCTGCTACATGTTTGTCAGTCAAAAAGAGGTTTTGAGGTGAGTGAAGTCGGGCGAAGCTATGTTTCCATGTCAATCAGTGTATCGTACGGGAAGTAGCCTTGGAACAAAAGTTCCTGGCAGCATAGCCACTTATTGCTGGTCAGATTAAGCACATCGCTGGGTCTGTCACTCAGGCTTCGGTTGCCCGAAAACAGACTCTCAACTCTTAGGATACAACATAGCGATGCTTTCTGAACGGCCGTGGGAGATCAATTCTTGCATGTGATTGGTTGGGGTCATAAAAACTATACTCCCCCTGGACAGAATAAGGAGCCAAGCGGAAATGTCAAGTCACACGCCAGATGGGGTTCCTTTAATTGCACCGCCGTAGAGTTGTAGAGTGTCAATTATGCGTAGAGTAGGAAACTATCTGGACTTCACAGGGTTGTATCACTTTCGTTTCCATCTTAGTTTTAAAAACTTTTTACTAAGATGGTCATTAGGGTAGGACATGAGGACAGTACGCGAGAAACTTGATGCGGGCCAGAGTAGCTGGTTTGAAAATTATAGGTGCAAGCAAGGAAAGAAGTATATTATTCGTACGAAGGCGGCTCCCTAACTGAACACATAGACCTTTCGAAAGGATAGCGGAGATGGTATAATGGGTGAATTGTGGTTGAAGGATCAGCCAAACTAGCTCCTATCATGGTGACTAGCCATCTGGGTTTGAGCTGGCCGAAAAGATTCTAACTGCTGGCTCAGTACTTGTGAAGATCCTGAAGCAAATGAAAAAACTGTAGCAGATCTGTTCAACTTCACACCTTCCCAGCCAACTTACCACATCCATCAAAAGGTCAACGTACATGAGGTTCAAACAAGCCTCTTTTTTTTGTGAAGCCCAAACCGTTCCTCATCGACAGACCTGGTCTATATGGATGTGTTCCACACTCTCATCCATCCAATGGCTTGCCCCTCCTCCCTACTCCCATATCGCTTGTGGCTAGGAGCATGTGGCGTTCCGAACTGTCTTAGTGGCTGCTGACTAGTCCAGCGACTCGAACAACACAGGCACGGGGCTCGGCAGCTCAAAGTCCGACCAGAGAGCAGCGATGGCGCTGGCTGTCTTAATCAGCAGCACAAGACCCAAGATACAAAGGTTAAGAGTCAGTCGCCGCGTCCCATCTGGACCCCCAGACCCAGCTCAACACGCCCACCCCCACCCGCCCGCCGGCCGGGGCGCCGGGACCCGGGATCGATCTTCTGGCTCCACTGTCTGTTCGCGCTGTTCGCTGGGCTGCTGGGTTACATTTGTGTTTCGCTCATTGGGCGCGACGTGCAGGTGTGTGTAGGGTTGTTTTCAGGCCGGTTCGTGAGCCAGCGGTGAAGATAAATGCGGCGGCGCCATTAAGTTTGGGATCGACACTGTCGGTCGGTGATTGCGGGAAGGCGAATGAAGCATGATCTGAGTGAGCGGTCAGTTATCGATGATTGATAACGCTGAGTTGCTCTACTTCAATCGTTGCCATCGCAGCCGTGTTTGCATCCATTGCGTCGATCTCGAAGGTTGTCGTCGTCGTCCTCGTCTCATTGTCGTTAAAGTGGAACCTGCTGAGGACAGGCTAAAAAGAAGGCCGCATGTGAAGAAAGGATCCACCGAAGAAACTCAGGCAGATCCCAAGCCATCCAATGGAAAAGCGCAGAGAAAAAAGACGGCGCCCGTCTCCCCAGAGTTTGGAGGTGAAGCCTTCCCGATCGCCCAACCGCAACCCCACAAGGGCCCCGCCGCTTTCATTCCCGTGCCCAAGTCCCGAAGCTCCCCCTCAACCCCCCCCCCACCCCACAAACCAAAGCGTCCCATGTCGACTCTGTCGCGCCAGCCCGCTAACAACCCCCCCCCATCGCGCCGGTCTCAGCAAACGAAGACAATGTTACACACGCAAGGGGGGGTCAGCCTTCCATTGATTGAGTGTGCAATGCCTACAAGAAGGAGTCGAGTCGACAAACAAAAAAAATGGTTGGCGGAAAGTGAGGAAGTCTGGATTCTGGACAGATGGGATACCACCCTCCAATTCCACTTGACTCTTTTAAGACAAACAAAACTGACACCACCAAGACACCCTAAGACACCCAAGACCGACATCTTACTCGGTGCTCGGGGCTTTTCTCTTTAGCAGGGATGTTCCCCCGCTAATTGACGGATTGACAGGCCCTCCCCAGGCAATGCAGCAGGCCCCACGGGCATGCTGTCCCCCCCTCCGACTCTCCCAGAGCCGCCCATCTTGCCGGCGGCGCCCTCATGACCATGCACGTTCTGCGGCTGCGCTCGCTGCGCTGGGCCGAACGGAGACGCGACACGGGCTTGTCGCTGTCTCGAAGGAGGGATGATGTGGGTATGTTGATGGAGGTGTAAATGATAATGTGGATAACTGGATATCGAGGGGGTGTGGGCGTGGGTGTGTGACCGAAAAAGAAGCGATGAACTCTCCGTGCCTGTCCTTAGCCCCGAGATTTGAATCCCTCCCACGAGTCCCACGGTGTGTGTAAGTGGATAGATAGACACACACAGGCAGCGAAGGCAGGCCCAGCTTCCCGAGCTGGTTGCCGCAGTGTCTGGGCTCGTGCCATGCTTGCTGCCCTGCCCGCAGCCGTCCGCCCCGACGGGAGCCGTTGTAATTGGCGATCGAGCCTGGCTTGCCTGGCTGACACCCCCTGGTCTGGTAGTCTGCCCGCTCCCGTTCTTCTGGCCCGGATCTGTCACTCGGATCTTGAGCCCGGACCCCGGGTTCCCCAGGGTCCAATATCCAGTTGAGTCTTAGGTCCCCTCCGTCTTCAAATACAAGACGCTCGCCTTCCCCGGATTTTGGCTCCTGTCTTTCCACTCTCATCCCCAGCTTTTCTTCCAAGATACCCTGCACTGCTACATTTATAGTGTGCCAATTCCAACCTTTGTGTTTTGTTCTGCTGTCTGTTATTTGAGTTTTAGTTCTTCGCATACATCATCAGCATCATCAACATCATCACCATGGCCACCCAGACTGCGTCCCAGACTAAGAAGCACCCTACTCTCAACCATTATGACATTGGTATGTTTCAGTTCTAGTCATCTCATCCGGAATAGCAGGCTGACAAGAGAAACAGTTATCGTCGGTGCCGGCCCCGTCGGCCTGATGCTCTCGACGTGCTTGGCGCGCTGGGGCTATCGCATCAAGCACATCGACAACCGCCCGGAGCCGACCCCCACGGGCCGCGCTGACGGCATTCAGCCCCGTTCCCTCGACCTCCTGCGCAACATGGGCCTCAAGTCGGCCATCATGGCCCACAAGCCGGCCCGCGTCTACGAGGTCGCGTTCTGGGACCCTCCCAAGAGCGGCAAGGGCATCGTCCGCACCGGCACCTGGCCCAGCTGCCCCAGCTTCATTGATGCCCGCTACCCCTTCACGACCCTGCTGCACCAGGGTCTGATTGAGCGTGTCTTCATCTCAGATCTGGAGAAGAGCGGCGTTGAGATCCAGAGGCCGTGGACCATCACGGGCTTCACTTCCGATGAGAAGGCTGATCCCGAGTACCCTGTTACTGTTGAGCTGGCACACGTCGATGGCACTTTCAAGCAGACCGTCAAGGCGAAGTACCTCTTTGGCGGCGAGGGTGCTCGGTCTTTCATCCGTGACCAGCTCAAGATTGGCATCAAGCACAAGGATCCTATCTCCTACGTCTGGGGTGTCATGGACGGCGTTGTCAAAACCGACTTCCCTGATATCAAGGTGTGTGCCCCCTTCCCGTCTTTTTTTTTTTTTTTTTTTGTCTTGCTTGGTCATTGCTGACAAAAAGCAGATGAAATGCACCATCCACTCGGCCCATGGCTCTATCATGGTCATCCCCCGTGAGAACAACATGGTGCGCCTTTACATCCAGATCGCCTCATCGGAGGAGCCCGACTTCCATCCTCGCAAGACCGCCACCGCCGAAGAGGTCCAGGAGCGCGCGAAGCGCATCCTGCAACCCTACTCCATCGAGTGGGAGACGGTCGAGTGGTACTCGGTCTACCCCATCGGCCAGGGCATCTCGGACCGCTATACGCTCGACCACCGCGTCTTCCTCGGCGGCGACGCCTGCCACACCCACAGCCCCAAGGCCGGCCAGGGCATGAACACAGCCTTCCTCGACGCCCTTAACCTGGCCTGGAAGATCCACCTCGTCGAGGCCGGTTTCGCCCGCCGCGAGCTCCTCGAGACCTACGAGCCCGAGCGCAAGGAGGTCGCCGAGGCCTTGCTCGCCTTCGACAACAAGTACGCCAAGCTCTTCTCCCAGCGCCCTCCCCAGGCTTCCGAGGTCGCCGCTGCCAGCACCCACACCCAGCAATCCGAATCCTCTGTTGAAGAAGAGAATGAATTCATCAAGACCTTCAAAGAATCCTGCGAATTCACTTCGGGCTACGGCGTCTTCTACAAAGAAAACGCTCTGAACTGGCACCCGGCCCACCCGGCCCAATCCCACGTCATCCTGCACCCCTCCAAATCCAACACCCGCCTCATGCCCGGCCGTCTCCTCACCATCGCGGACGTGACCCGCGTCGTCGATGCCAACGTTGTCCACCTGGAACAAGAAATCCCCCTGAACGGCTCCTTCCGCATCTTCGTCTTCGCCGGCAACCCCTCGGTCACAGCCCAAGCCCTCAAGGACTTCGCGGCCAACCTTGAGAAGAAGAACTCCTTCTACAGCGCCTACGCCCGCCCCGACGCAGCGCAAGTCTCTCACCACGAGCGCCACAACCCCCACTCGTTCTTCTACACCATCTGCACCATCTTTGCCGCCAAGCGGCCCGAGATCGAGATTAGCCGCGACGTTCCCGCCCTGCTGGCGCGGTACCGCGACCACATCTATGCTGATGACAGGTGGGATCGCCGCGTGCCCGATGCCAAGGCCGCTGCGCACGCGAAGATGGGGCTGGACCAGGAGAAGGGCGGTGTCGTAGTTGTCAGGCCGGACGGGTATGTTGGTATTGTGGTTGCGCTGGAGGAGGGCAGCGCGACGGTCGACGCGCTGAACCAGTACTTTGGGGCGTTTTGCACGAAGAAGCTTGGGGGTGAGGTCTGCCAGCTCTAGGGGAGATGAGACATGAGGGGGAGTTGATTGATTTGGGATTGATCGAGTTAGATTGTTTTTTTTTTTTTTTTGGATTGTATATATTGCATTGGCTATGTTTTGTATATAGGACATCTAGATGAGTTTAGTTTGTTATTCAGATTTCGTTACTATACTTTCGAGCTCCTTGGGACCTAACTTGTCGAGGACCTTAGTAAAGATATCTTCTTGACCCTAGACATGAATGGTAGCGTTGGGGTATATAGGTAGCACACAGCAGCTACGACCTGCGAGAGGGAACACACGCCAGACATAGCCCATCACCACACATTGATGCACGAAGCTTAGTAGATGCAGCCGGAGAAAACATTCCATTTCCGACCCATGCCTCTAACCATGCCCTCTACGTAAACCACTTAAATGATCTCAAAAACCTCTGGCCATCCATAGGAAAAAGCAAATCATTCCATGTCCACCACCCATTCACCAACCCGCCCTCATGAACTCTTGAAGTCGTGCTTGTAAAATAATCATGATACCAAGGGATTCCAACGACAAATCTGGGTTTAAAGAAACAAAGATAAGAGTAAACACAAGAAAATATCCGTGCTCCAACCAAAAAAGAAAGGTATCAGACAAGAAACGAAGGAATAAGAGAGATAACCGAAACGAACTCCCAAATCAAGATCCTTACTCCATCCATCCCCATACGCCAGGCTTGACCTGCTCCTGATACCCACCAATCGTTCTGCCTATCAATCTCTCCCATGATGATACCACTGCCCTTGAGTCTGCCCCTGCTGGGCATTGATGCCCTCCTCGAATAAGCCCACCAGTCTCTCGAGCGGCAGAAGCTCGAGCCAAGGCGCCGGCGCAACCATGGTATCACTCTCCGTACCCAGGGACTCGATGTTGATATCCGTGCTCAGCTCGAACACATCGTTGAGGTTGATCTCTGGCACGGGGTTGAGCATGCCGAATCCGGTCGATCCGCCGCCGTTGGAAGGAGAGGGGGATACGCCGCTGCCGGGGATCATGTTGGACTGCGAGAAGTCCATTCCTGTGACATAGTTCGTGTTATGTGATGCGCTATTGTTGTCGTGATGCATGTAATCGTGGTGGTTGCTGTTGCCGTGGTGATTGTGGCCGTACTGATCGTGATGATGAGAAAGGTAACTGCTGTTGTGATTGTGAGCAGGCAAGGAGTGCTGCTGACTCACACCCGAATCTGTAGGAGTACCCGAAGATGACCGGTCGTGCATAGTCGCCGAATCGTAGGCTGAATGTTGTTGTGAGTTCGGCGTATTGTATGAGGACTGTGGCATCGAGTCGTGGTCTGAGAAGGACCCGGATGCAGCATGCAGCGGCGGTGGTCTCATATCGCCACGCTGGTTGATAGAGTCCATGTCCACCGGCGGTGACATTTCGTATTTGATTTGGACATGCAATTTCCCCGAGCCCGGAGATTGCGAGGAGCGGCTTTCCCGCGGCGTGTTGGGCGGAAATCGGGGTGTCCCGATGCTGGGTTGTAGGTAGGTCGGGGGCTGCGGTGTGCCGGGGAGACTTTGACGGATAGGATCGTACACCATATTGCCTGGCGGTGTCGGTGCGGGTACTTGGGCCGACTGTGCAAGAACCGAGGGAGGGGGCAGAGTGATTGTGGCCGTAGCAACCTGGGCTGTGGCCGAATCCTTCAGCATTACGGTTACGTTGGTGTTGGGCGAATTGGTCGTGCCGGTGAGCAGCGCACAGGCAAACGGAGCCGTCGGAGGGGCCGGAGAGTTTGAAACGTCGAGCCTGGAACGGAGCTCTCTTTCTGCATATGTGGACTCGTCCTTCGAGAAGGCCTCGCAATCCCAGATGCCCTTCGATTTCTGATCCAAAGCGTTAAGAATGTAGCCAACGCCGGCCCAGTATTTTTCCAGCTCCTGGAGCGACTTGTAGCAGCGTTGATAGTTTTCGTTGGCCGCATGCGCGAGCAAGGAGTGTTTCGGTTGACCCTCTCTTCCCCATCGGTTATGGTCATTCTTTGCGTCTGGAACAGGGGTTCCCTCACGAGAAGGCGGGGTCGAGGTGTTGGCGACAGATTCCATCAGGAAAGCACAGGCAGCAATGTAAATGGGCTGCGAGGTGAAGGGGTTGCCAACAAGACTCTTGGGGTCGATGAGCTCGGCAAAAGCAAGAATATCGGCAATGGTTTTGGCACTCGACATCGATAACTGGGGACTGTTCGGCAGCAACTGGATCGGCTTCATGTCGTGGAATGGCGTCAACAAGGTCGGCTGATGAAGAACAATGATGAGTGCGTGGAACCAGAAGTGCAGTAGGATGAAGGTTGTGCCCTGGTTCATCTCAACATATTGACGGAAGTTAACAGGGTTGAAGTGCAGGCGAGAGTCCTGCTTCTTGTACAAAGCTGTCAGGTCGCTCTCCATCCTCGAGAGCTTCTGCATCTTGTCCTCAGTGAGATCGCTGGCGTCGCGGATGTTGTTGAGCACATCGGACACGCGGCCGTACAGATGGATGATCTCGCTGAAGGTAGGGAACGGAGCGGGCCAGCCGGTGTTGGGATCCAGGGTCGGCTCGGGAAGCGACAGATCGAAATCGTCATCCCGGAAGGTCACGGGTCTGCCCGTGCTGGACGAGATGACGCGGTCAAGGACAAAGACAGCCCAAAAGGTATCTATGCGCTCTTGCTCTACCTCACGTTGTTCTTCTGGGCTGAGGGTATCCTCGACGCCTTTGGTATCAGGTCCATCTAGCTCTTCCCTATCCCGGCGGCTCCAGAACCTCGTGTACCATGGGTCACGCTCGCCACGATACTTGATACCCTCGATCCTCTGCAGACCCAGGTCAAGAACCATTCGAATGGCGATGCCCAGGTACATCCAGAGGGCGCTGTCCTGATTGGCACCAAAGGCCTCATACGCCATCAGCAGAGCAGCCTGGACAGCAGCGACCGACGGGCAGGGGAAATGGTCGACAATGGCGCTCTTCGCGCGCTGGGCATAGAGATGACCGTATTCATGCTTTCTGACTGGTCGTCCAAAGTGCCTCGTGGTCGCTTGGATCAGCGTAGGATGCTCCACAAAGCGAGCCGCCAAAGCGCATACTGTGTCGACGAGAATCGGCTCGAGCCGCTTTTCCTTAAGCAGGCGAACGAAGCGTTCTTTACGCAGGAAGAGATAGTTGCAGCCGAGCTGACGGAAGAAGGTATCGACAAGCATGAAGATCAATGGAGGAACAGGATCCGGGCTGTGAGCATCGTAGTAAGCAAATCGCTCTCCCCCGTCCAGGGGAGGGTCCTGATCCGGGTCATAACCAGAGAGGTCTTTCGACGACAGGTCGTGACCGCCCAGAGCTGACGAATACGTCTTAGAGAAGTTGTTCGACTGGTGGGACTTGCGAAAGATAACATCCACTAGGACCTTCTTGAAGCCTGGGACGATGGCCGTGGTGCCAAAGTAACGGAAGTAGGGCACACGGCGACTCTCCGTATGACGATGGACCGGCGAGCGGTTGTTAGCAGTCCTGCTGCCATCTGATGAGGCCGAGGATGAGGCCTGGTTCGGCGGCGTGTCTTTGGAAGCTGGCTTCTCTTCGTGGTCCCAGTCGTTGCCATTGTCGAGGGCCGGACGGGGGGTGACCGTGGCGCTGGAACTGGAGTCACACTTCATGTCGTCGTCGACAAAGCCAGCAACAGGAGGGCGATTTTGCGTAGCAGTAGACTTTCTCCTCCAAGTGTCGTTGAGGAGGCTACTGTGGTTATCCAAGCCGTGCAGGCCGGGGGTTGACTCAATTTTAACAGTCCTCGAGTCATCATGTACCCCTACCTCCTTTTTCTCACCCTCCGAATAACCCATACAGGCGTGCCCATTGTTGGAGCACGTCGTGCAGATCGGCTTCTTGCCGTCACAGCGAGTCTTTCGTTTCCGGCAGGTCAGGCATCTGGTGGCGTTTAGAATATGCTCTCATCACGACACATGGCATGTGACATCTCAGGGTAGGTATGTAAGTAGTCGGTGAGGGCAGGCCGTGGAACGGCACACAGGACAGGATGGACGGAGATATGAGAGCAGAATAAGAGTAAGAGGGGGCAGGAAACATACGCTGCATTTATCCTCCGACGTTTGGCCGGGGGCTGACCTGGGTTATTGACGAAGCGGATCTTCTGTTGAGGAGGGGGTCCGAGGGGCGTGTTGACTATTCTGTTCATGTTTGACTCTTTTTCACAGGGCCCGAGCATTCATGGCGGGAAGATAAAATGACAAGCGGCGCCGTGACGGACTCGCGGCGATGTCGACTCCTGACAATGCGCGGATCCTAGTGCGGCGGCCAGCCTGGTGAGCAGCGCAGCGTAGAGGAGGGCGAGTGGACAGAGTTGAGCAGATGTCGCTGGATGTGTAAGACTGATGAGGATGAGCAGGAGCTCGCGACGGGCTGATGGGTAGGGTTCGGTGGGCTTGGCGCTGCGGTGTGAGGAGCCGTAGGAAGCTAGCGGCCAGCGGGCCTTGGGTGATGGGCGATCAACAGAAGCACAGCATGGTCACAATGCCAACAGAGTCGTGGAGGGCATGCTTCGTGAGATGCAGGTCGGGGATGGCGTTGAATTGAGTTTGAGTTTGAGCGATGAGAGGGCTTTGCTTGATGATGGTTGGCAGGCCGAGCAACGGTTGGGCGGTCAGGGATCCGATGGGCCTTTTGCGGAATGCGGACTGCGGACAAGGCGCGGGCGTTGGTCCGATGCCGCGCGTGGGTCGGTTAAGGGCTTGGGATTGGGTCTTGGATTTTTGGGCCTTGGTTACTGGCTGTGCTGCGTGTGCTTATGTGAGCTGCTGCTGAAAGGTTATATTGCTCGTTGCTCGTTGCTCGTTGCTCGTTGCTCGCTGCTCTCTGCTTGGTGCTTTGTTGACAAAGCAGACGGTGCGGGCCAAGAGTGCTGACCAGGAGTAATGCGATGCACCGAGCTGCGAGGCAAGGAGCAGGTAGGCTGGCGTCTGCTTGGTCTGCGTTACACAGAGATGGAGAACGGGGATCGATGTAATAATGGCAGGGCCGGCGAGGACACGAGGTCGGCAAAAGAAGTGATGCAAGCTGAGTCCCAGGATTGCTGCAGCGTTGCTTGCCCTGATTGCTGTGGGCTGTCGAGCTGCCACAGAGCTGGGCTGAGAGTGGATGTGGATGTGGATGCTCTCACTCAACAGAGTGGGACTAGGGCCAGAGAAAGGGAAAAAGTGAGGAGAACGGGAGCCTGGGCCGTTGGATGGAGACGGGGCTCGAATAAAATGCAAAATCAACCCAGCAACAGAGAGCAGCAGAAGCAGGCGCTGGCCTCTAGCGAGTCCTCCAGTCCTACCTACCCGACTTGGTGGACGGCCAGCTCAGGATGGAAATGGGAAATGGAAAGTTGAGGAAAGCGCAAGTCCAAGAGCCAAAACAGGTGCAGGGCTAAACGAGCTGCGAGCGGATTGGGACTTGACTGGCTCTGTAAACTGCTTGTTGTGGATTGTGGATGCGTCGGGTCGATCGGCAGAGAGAATACGGCGTGTCCGTAGAAAAAAAACCATAACTTTTAACACAGGCCGTGATGCTCTTTCAGCAGGTACTTAATCACATCGCCAGAGTTGGATCTGTTCGGCTGGCAGCTGCTTGCCAAGTGTTGCAACACATGGGCCGTGGCATTTCATGATACCTCGATGCATCCGTCACTCCCATTGCATCTATTATATCGAGTGCGAACCGCATCTCAGTCGCCACTGGCTGTGTTGTCTGCGCCTTCTGCACCCTGCTGCACCCAAGACCCGTGGTCCTCTCGGCCCTGTGATATTACTCGCCTTATGATATGCTTGTGCGGCAGATAGATAAGCTGCTTGCCTTTTCTACCCGATCTTCGCATTTTCCCTGGACTCTCGGACACTCTGGGTACTCGACCCCTCTTTTTGCCTTATGGAAAGCGGATGTTCGGCGGCTCACCTCGGCCCTCAACCTGCCCAGATCACCAGATCACATCTTGAAGTGACGCGTGTTCCGAAATCCTTATGGGCGGCACGGTTGCTCTAAAAGAGAGAGAGAGAGAGAGAGAGAGAGAGTGTGTGTGTGTGTGTGTGTGTGTGTGTGTGTGTGTGTGTGTGTGTGTGTGTGTGCGTGTGTATGTGTGTGTGTGTGTGCTGAGAGAGAAGCACAAGACTCGAAGAGACTCGGCTTGTTGATCTCGATGCTGATAATAGTGAGAAGAAGCTGACTGCGAAAGGGAGGGTGCAGGCGGGAGTTGAAGAGTTGAAGAAGGGCGAGCAGAGCAGGAGCTGGCGTCTTAGCCTGGTCGGTAGGTGCCACTGTCCAGGGTCAGGGTGGGTGGGCCATGGCTTGAGAGCCGGATGGAGACGATCGGCTGCCACGAAGCTGGAAGGGGAAGGGAAAGGGGTCCAACCCGTGTCATGAGTCCCGTCGTGGGGAAGTGAGCGCGACGACGATAGACAACGGGCGTAACATGGGGCATGTCCCTGCTGCCGCCCCACCCGGGTGTGGTCTGGACATGGTTGTGACAAGGGCTATCAACAAGGGCCTCGACAGAGCAAGAGCATGGCTTCCAGGTTGCCATGTTGCAAGGCCCCTTGCCGGGGCCCCAGCGCACTGGGACCCTGGGACCCTGGCCGGCCAGGATACTCGCGAGGGAAGGGTGCCCATGGCGCTGGGTTGCTCCATCCGACCCACCGGTGGAGCTGCTGCCGCCATTTCATTTTCATCTGCCATCTGCCATCTGCCAAGCGGAGCTTTGTCCACATTGATGACCCACCCCAGTCGCCAGCTCCTGGTCATTCTCGGTTTTGTTTTCTTTTCTTGATCAGACCTGTCCCAGCGCTGTGGTTACGATCGACTCTCGTCGGGCGCTAATCAACAGATCTAACGGTGTCATCAGTCCATCCAATTGCTTTACGCATAGCCCTGCGCGCACCACGTGTCTGTGATGAATCCAACGCTGCTATCTTCTCTCCCTTGGTTGCTACATCCCGGGACGTGCTGAGTGAGAAACGAGGTGAGCATCGTGCGAAAAAGGAACTGTTGCCCCAGCAAGCTCTCTTCACCAGCCCATCCGTGCTCCGTCGTCCGCAACAATAGCCGTGATATTTGCTGACCTGCGCGGACGGGCGGGCTTCTCTCTTCAGGGCTGCGGAAAGGCAGGGAGGGAGGTTTTCTTGTACTGCATGTCGTGTGTATGCCTCGTATATTGAGCAGCCTGATCCCGCTACCAAGTCGACAAAAATATCCGAGAGGCACACCCCCGACGTTCACTCTCCCGTCCATCAACCTAGCCAACCTGCCGGAAGAAAACCGGAGCACATGAGAAAACAGCAAGCATATTGTAGCATGTTCATGAGGTTAAGAGCGTGCCGGACCTTTAGTGGATTTTTCACCCTGGACGGCCAGTTTGTCCAACAATTCGGCCAGGGCGTGCTGTTCATCTAAGAGTCAGTGTGGCAGTCCGCAATTCTCTCTCCTGGTAA